CAGAGGAAAAAATAAAATGCAAGAAACATGTAGGCATTGGGCCCTATTAGAGCAAACTTGTGTTAAAAACATATTATATAACAAATTAAATGAAGTTAAATATTTCAAAGCACACAAACTCTTTGCCATTCGATCACACAACAAACTTTGATCACACAAAGACAAATTTCTATAGGTCACAAAAGAAAGGACATTTTACATTTTTAATATTTCATAAACGATTGAATAATAATTAGAATGTCTTCATCATAGTTTCACAAATAAAACATGACTTTTCAGTTTATCCTCTACCCTTCTAGTTTCTATTTATTCAGATGCTTTATGCCCCACACAGTCTAATCTAATCTAACACAGTCTAATCTAATTTAGTTTTCAGTTTTGTTCCTTTTGAGGTTTGGGGAAAATAACTTTGGGCCAAAGTTCAAAACTTGTAACATTTAATATTTCCCAATTAGTTAATTTATCAACACTTTTGAAATAAAGACGTGGCAACCTTTGAAATAGACAAATTAAAAATGTATGCAATTGATCTACAAAATTCTATAAATATTATTTATCTGCATGGCATGCTAAATTGCCCCTAGGTGTGAGTGTGTGTGTGTGGATGTATATGTTTGTCTGCCCTGTGATGGACTGGCGACCTATCCAGGGTGTATCCTGCCTTCCGCCCAATGACTGCTGGGATAGGCTCCAGCTCCTGACCCGGAAGGATAAGCAGTTTAGAAAACGTGTGTGGTGTGTGTGTGTTTGTGTGTATTTATCTGCATGATAATTATGATGCACAAATATTTATGGACATAGTTTGAGGCTGTTTTGTGTGAATGACTTAATGGATTTGTACTTTCTAATCTGTATATTAAGAGTATATAAATATACTCATTTGTATTTTAAGAGCACCATATACTCCCTTATAGTTTTAGTCAAGTTTATTTCTAGAGCACATTTAAAAACAGCCTAAGCTGGCCCAAGTGCTGTACAGCTAATCAAAGTAAAAACGTTTATAAACAAACAGCAGCAAATTTGATCATAGAAACACTTACTAACAGTGCTGCTTGAAGAACATGTTTGAACAAAAATTGCCCAATTAAAATGTAAAAACAATAAAACATAAGAAAACATGAAGTAATACATAAAACTTAAAAAAATTAAAAACTCACTGAATTAACATGTATTGCAAGACCATATATGGATCATTCCACCGAATTGGTTCAGAGTCAGAGTTGAAAACATTTCGGACTTTTAACTGACTTGGACTTAAATTCTTTTGCTTTGACAGACCCTACAAGTTAATTATGTTTTTTTTTTATTAAAATCAATGATTGAATTTTCCATTTCATCACTACCAAAACAATCATAACACTACCAAATGTTTTGGTAGTGACTGTTACAGTAATGACAATTTTACCTAATTTTGAGTCAGAACTCAAGAATGCTAGCCAGTACGTGACGAGCAAACACAGCTATACACACATACTAATTTTCAATTAAACAAAAAAAGTTTCCTTAATTGCTTAATTGAAAATGTGTGTTTTGGTAGTGACAGTTCTTAAGGTTGCACAGTAATTTTCAGACTTTGGGACACATTTACTTTACTTACCATGTGGCCATATGGGACAGTCTCACTTCCTGCTCTAAAATGCAGGGGTGTGGCTAAAATAGGGCTCTGTCTATGGACTAAAACTCTGTGTTTTGGTAGTGACATGAAAAGGAAAAGATCTAAATCTTTCAACTTCACTTCAGATAAGCATGATCTTAAAAGTTTTTTAAAAAAGTATTATTTGCATTTAACTTGAAATGTAGGTGTTAGGAAGCAGCCAAAAGAAAGTAGCCTATAAATGATGATTTTGTATATATTTAACTTAGTGCTATCTCATTTAAAGCCTTGATAGAAATTAAGGTAATTTGGTAGAAAGGTCCATATGTTTACAGCATCGTAATTCCGTAGTAGCTTGTAATATTTGTGATTTGCATAAACACAGCTGACTTTGACTACATGCCGTGATTTCAAATGCCGTAGTGTGGTAGGAGCACAATAGCCAAAGCACAGTTATGGACATGACTAATGTGAGTAGCCTGAACATGACGAATCACAGGCATTTGTGCCAGTATGATGAGTAGCGGGAATTGCTGGAAGCAACATACCTCCAAAATGAATACCATGTCATTAACTGAACCAACAGAGTTACACATGACTTTTGCACTACTTTAAAGGGGTTGATACCAATTCCTGTCTTGTTGTGTCATGAGCCGAAAGCAGGTTTGGACAAACTACTCCTGAAATGTGGTAATTATCCATAAGAGCTCTTTCTACTGGAAAGAGTGACCTTTTTTATCCTCTTAGTTTTACTCACCTAGACGATATGGAATAGAAAGTGGATGCTTATCCTCTAAAGCTCTCTTGTCTGATAAGAATACTAGAAGTACTTCAGTTAAAAGGAGCAGAAAGCAACAAGGAGCTCAGAATCATATAAAAACAACTTTTCCTTGCTTTTTTAAATTAAAAGTTTGATGTGTTACACTGAAAATGTTGGTTTGTCAGTACAACCTAAAAAAGTTACTTCCTGTGGTAATAAGCAGTGGCTTTATTCAACTCAAATACGTTAAGTGAAACAATGCAAAGCAAGACAAATAGATTAGATGATCAATATTTTACATCAATTTAAACTTCAAATCAGCTTTAGTTCCACTTTTTATAGGGTAAAGTTTTCAAACGTACCGTTCACTCTACAGTCCATGCAGTCCATATATGAACACTAAGCTGCTAATATAGCCTGTTTGAATTCATTGACTCATATAAGTCATATATTTGCCTATTCAGTCCACAATAATTTAGCCCAGCCCATTTACAATGAAGTTATAAGGGGTGTTTCAGCCTAGACTGCTTTTTGGATGAGGTACAATACATGGCAGCCAATCAGAACAGACTTCATAAACATAAATCAGTCTTAAAGGCACAGATACTAAAACACCTTCTTTCCCTACTTCTATATCTAAATGAATAAAGAGAGGTTGGAAAATGATCAAATAAAAATGAATGAACATCTTAATTGGACCTCAGGAGAAAAAAATAAAATGTGAGAACGATGTAAGAAATGAGCCTTTTAAATACAAAGGTGCCCCTTCATTGCCCCCTTTTTCAACAGTTTGCGCAAATGAGTCTTTTTTAATTTAAAAGTTGTAAAGCCAATACTCCTCTCGAAATGAAACGAACACATCAAATTCACAGTCTGCCATACACATTTAGCATCTGTGCGTTTAGTGAGTCATGCATCCCTTGTGGGCAAACGTTTTACGGCTCTGCATTGATAAATCATCAGCAGTTGAAGTGTTTGAACCTGTGTCATAATGGAAAGTCAGCATAATTAATATAATCGGTGTCAGAACGTTATGGCACGATTCGTCCTGTTTAAATTTGACATGCAGAACACAATAAAAAAGTAACACAAATAGCAAAACACACCATAATCACTGAAATCAAATTAAACATGGAAAAAGAAAGGTCATAAATCATCTAAAATAATTTCATATGAAAGAAGTTTCAGATCTCTTTTTGCATCAGGCGTTTTACGTATTTTTTGCTCTTGTTGTCACCTTACATGTCCACGAATGATTGTAAGACATTATTCCAAATTAGTGCTTATGCTGTTTTGAATGCAGAGCAGGCATTTCCGTTGTTTTCTTCCAGGACGTGTGTTGTGCAGATGAATAAGATATTTCTGATTCTGAGTGTGCGACCTTTCTCCTCACTCCGCCTTTCACAGTCCTCTCCACTGCCATTAACCCGTCCCCTGCCGTGCACTGTTCTGTTTGGTTTCAGCTGGATAACAACATTTTCTCCTTCTAAACACTTTTGTATTTAGACACTTTTGTACAATAAGGAAAAATGACACATAAGCTATACTTTCCATGAACATATAACATTACCTATTAGAATTGCTTTGGTTAAATGCCATTTCCATTGTTTTATCCACTGTTAATTTTGGATTGTCTTTTGCCAAAAATCAATAATCATGTTTAAATTAATTAATTGATTTAAATGTAATGATGAGCAAAATCTCACTTTTTAGAAAAATGGTTTGTTTGATTTGAAAAAAGTTTTCAGATTTGTGCTCAGGCAAGTTCAGAGAAAATATAGACCGAAGAGAAGGTAAATTTTCAGATATTCAGATTATTAAGTTCTGATTTCAGAACTTGTATTAATGTTTTAATTTTGGACCATTTCTGTTTGCCCATTATTCATTGACAGCTGGCGTTTTGTAGTGTAGTGTAAAATGATAATAGAAATCTAATAATAATAATAATAAATGGAGTTACAAGGTTTCAATCACATATAATACTGTGCAAAAGTCAGAGATCACCCTTTCTTTAATCTAATTTCCAGTCAAAACATATACATTTTTCAGCGCCAGGAGAAAAAATGCTTTTTCAGTCTTAGATGTTGGTTGCATTTTCTCCTTCTTATGACCCAAGCAGTCCCAACTACGATTTAAAATTTATCAGCCCATAACACTGCATCTCAGATGCCCAGTTTTGTTGTTCTAGTGCAAATTTTCTTCTTTTTTTCTATTCCCTTTTCTCTGTAACAGCTTTTTGACAGCTACACATTCTTACAGACCTATAGTGTTGAGTTGTCATCTCACAGTGGAAGGATGGACAGAAACACCTGTGGATTTTTTCAGATCTGAAGCAAGAGTGGAGCTTCGTTTTCTCCTCTCTCTCAAAGATGAAAACTGTACATACTGTTTATATGATGGTGACAGTTTTGGTGGTCCAGCAGGTCTTGCACAGTTGTTAGGAGTCCCATATTCTCTTTATCTTAAATCTAAATATTGTAAGTCTTTATATATATATGTTTTTACATTCTTTTTTCCTTTGACATTTGAATTGCCGTCTAGTAATTAAAAAAATGAAGGACGGTCTCTGATGTTTGCTCAGTACTTTACATGACAACGACAAGACGTTTCTATATATTTCAGTAGAAAATAGCAGTTAGCTCTTGGATACTTATTTTCTATTCTCTGTCGTTTTCCTTCCACTGTTGTTCTCCAAAAGCAACACAAGACACTGAAAGGAACAACAACATATTTTCAGCCCTATAAGCCCTCAAGGTTAAACCACTCTTCTGCTCTTCTTCAAATTCTCTTTCATTTCATTTTCACAAAGGACTGGACAATGGATAGAAAGTGACCTTGAGGAATGGATGAAATCTATTGTTGTAGTGAATGGATGTTGTATTGCTTTGTATTATCTTTTATTACAATTCATTATTATTATTTGCACTTTTATTAGTTGGACACTTTTTCAGAAAAACAAAACAAAAGCTATAAATTGTCATTGAAGCTGTCCGTCATAATAAAGTGTCCTTCAGGTCACTGCTGAGTGACAGATTAACAGATGCCATTTCTAGAAATCCCAGGTGGGAGGAGATGCCTGAAATCTTCTGACGTGTGAGCTAACACTGATGTGAAGAACAGATCGGTGTATAAAAAGAGTGGCCGCTGGACACTGCTCGGTGTGAACAGGCACAGGTGCGCTGACCACTGGAAAATGACCATGTCTGACTCTTCGCTCGCAGTGTGTGTCCTTTGTCTCCTGGCGCTGTCCGCGCTCTCCTCAGCCTGTTACATCCAGAACTGCCCGCGGGGAGGAAAACGCTCCTTTCCGGACACGGCTGCGGTCAGACAGGTGAGTAACTGAACAGCTCTAATGTTTTAGACCGAGGAACAGAGTTCTCACATCTGCACTCACTTTGCTTTAGATGTAGACTGAGGCAAGTTACATCTTATTCAGGTGAAATATGTCTATGTGTTTAAGCCATTTAAGCCATGATAACAGATGTCAAAGGGGATTGTTATTATATTTGAATGTAATAATTTATTAACATAGAGCATCTCATGTTGTCTTATGTTCATTTTAATCAGTAAGTTACATGCTTTTACATGTAATATCAGTGCTTTCATAAACATTTGAGTCAACAGACTCTCATCAGTAAAACTTTTCGATGTGCAGTCGTTTCGTTACTTTTCCCATATGTAGCTGTTTTTTGACCTTAAACGTTAGACACATTAGCATCTAGTTGAATAATAATAACAATAGTTAGTCATAGGACCCTTTAACTGACAAGGGGTCTTGAACTAGGAGGAATGTGATCAAGCTAACTTGCCTAATTCAGTAGATAAGTGGCTTAGTGGAAAACTTCACAATTCTGAAGATACATTTCTACTGGCTAAGTTAATATCTTAATGTATATGCAATATATGCATGTAACATCTTCTTTCTCCTGCAGTGTATGGCGTGTGGTCCTGAAGACAGGGGCCGCTGCTTTGGCCCCAGTATTTGCTGCGCTGCAGGACTGGGCTGCTATGTGGGCTCTCCAGAGGCAGCAGGCTGTGTGGAGGAGAACTACCTGCCCAGTCCGTGTGAGAGCGGAGGAAGAGCATGTGGATCTGAGGGAGGACGCTGCGCTGCACCGGGAATCTGCTGCGACTCAGGTCAGGTTCATCCCATTCTTCAATGGAAAGGGACCACCATAAGACCATATAGTAGTGGTATGTTAGAGTTTGTTGCACTGGTGTGAGCAGATTTGGGCAGAATACTTTGAAAAAGTTATGATATATGAAAGAATAGTGTATTCAAAACATAAGACATTTAGAATACATCTTAATAAAGCACATGGTTAAAAACTCTGCTGTTGTGAATGTCATGTTGTTTCTCCCAGTTACTGGATGGTAGTTTTCTTCCCAATACTGGTTGCCTAATGTGGATAAATGAAAATGTTAAAACATCCTCTACAGCGGAAAAACTTGAATAATTTAAAAAATATTAGCATTTTCGCACTAATTTGTGCACTGATTTTAGTGCACATTCTCTGTGTATTTGTTTAACATATTGAAGAAAAAAAAACATAAAATATAAAATGTGCCCTAATTTGCATAATAGTTTAATACACCAAATAATTAGTAATTGTGCATTAAAATGTGCAGAAGTGTGTTCACTGTAAAGGACGTTCACTTATTTTCAGCAAAACCAAACACATGCATTTAATTGTATATACACACACAATTAGGCCTTTTATTTAATAACCAATTAGCACAATGTGTCCCACTTTGTCTGAAAACTATATATATAGTATATATGAATAATATATTCAGTATATTCAGCTAAAGAGAGACAGTACTTAAACCCACTTTGTTAAATAATTAAATATATGATTATGTTTAAACATGTAGCATGTATATGTATTGTGACCTGCGAAGGACTGGCGACCTAGGGTGTATCCTGCCTTCTGCCCAATGACAGCTGGGATAGGCTCCAGCACCCCACAGTGACCCAGAAGGATAAGCGGTTTAGATGGTGTGTGTGTGTGTGTGTGTGTGTGTGTGTGTGTGTGTATGTATTGTCTAAATATAAGTTAGACAATACACAAACATATTGTGAAATACATTTTGTTCTACTTTTGCTAATGTCACTGTACAAAAAAATTTAATAAATGAAATCCTTTCTAAAGGATTAGTAGGACACAATACTGATCCAGTACTATGTACCAATGTATCTGAAGGTCTAAAGGTGTGCATATTTCAGATTTGGCCAGATTTGACGTATTTCTCTTCTTGTGCAGAGAGCTGTGTTCTGGATCCAGACTGTTCAGAAGACAGCAGGTATCAGCGCCCTGTGGATGAAAGCACCACCGGACTGAGCAGCACCTCAACTGGGGACATTCTGTTACGTCTCCTCAACCTGGCTACCAGAGGACAGAGACAGTTTTGAAAGTCCAGACGTTCCTGTTTGTTTACTTGGCTCATAGCCCCCTACCCTCAGATCCCACCCTCCCTCAAAAAAGAAATTCAGTTAAGTAGCACATGCCCTCTTTCTAAATGATCTGGTGTGTTACTTTACCACTCCACCTTTAATTATGATGCCTCAAAAACATGATGACCTTCACAGTCCGTCACAGGAACCAGTGTGTAAATATGCAGTAAATAAAGCTTTTCTTGCACTACAACATGTCTTCTGAAACCAAGAAGGAGGAATGACATTGAATAAGTGTGCAGCTCTCCTTCTGCCTTTTCTCTGATACTCTCCTTTCTTTAGCTGCCTTTCTTTTTCTTTTCTTTGCGTGTTTGGCTTGCGGTGCTTTCTCACCAAATGTTACTCAACATTTATTGTTCCAAGAACGAGATTAACCGCTGATGGTACTGAATCACTATCATGCTATGCTTCTCTCAGGCAATTATGCCTGTCAGCGAGTTAATACCCACTCCTGTTTTTATTAACGCGATACTGATGCTCTGATAGAACCCTCTATTCTCCCTTTTGTCCTTGCCAGTTCCTGTGAGACAGGTTTAACTCCGTTTTTTCATGGTAAATAAACTCTTAAGCAGATTTTATTCGTGACGCACTTAGAGACTAAGAGGTCCCGTATGCATTGGGATAAACATCTAAAATTAAAAGGATGCAAAATCTTTCTTCAGTTTTTAAGGATTGCTGCTTACCTGAAGGTAGTTTTTCATGTTCTGTCATGCACGTCACAGTTTCAGTCTTGTCAAATACTCTCAATGATGGGTGAGTCAACATAAAAAAAAAACCTTAATCACTTACTGGAAATGATGAGGATGTGAAGCAGTCTCTGAGAAAATGTTTTCCACTTTACAGTCTTAAAATTATGCCACTTTTATTTCTCTATTGAATAATATTTATATACATATTGAATAGTATTTGAGTCTAGACCTGTTGACAGATCAAAAATACAGAGTACTCATTAGTGAAATGTTAGCCATAATAGCCATAAAGGGGCTTTTTAATGCAGTTCGACTCATTTGAAGCTACTTCATGATAAGCTTCATGGCAGGACCTGGGGGCAGACCTGATGTCATAGAGTCATGGCGATGCCCCACTAAGCCCACTACTTTATGAACATGCATATATAGTGGCAGGTGGCATATGCTACCATCAAGTCCACCTCAGAAGTTCCTACTTATGACTTTGGAGGTCATAAGTATGACAGGGTTAAGTGTTTAAGTAGTGTGGATAAGAAGAAGTCCTTAAAAAAGGCAGTGTGGCTGCTGAGTAACTTGCTTACTAGTTTCCCGCTGTGGTGGTGTTTGTGTGCGTTCATCTCACAAAAACATTATTTCTGACATCAAGGCAGCAAAAAAACAAAAAAAACAAAAAAACAAAGTGGAATTAAACTGCTTGCTGTGTGCATCCAGTATGAATGGCTACACTGATTAACATAGTAAGTTTGCACTCTGTATTGGCTGCATTTGCTGTATGTTGTAGAAAGATAAATTAGCAGACAGATTTCCTAAATGGGTAAACTTTTGGTGATTTGCTGTAAATATGGCTTATTTATTGAAAGTGCATTACAATATAAAATAAAGATGCACACCTCAAATAAACAAAGAAACAACAACAAAAACAAGTAAAAATACAAAAAAAATACAAGAATAATGCATTTAAATCTGGAACGATGATTAAACAAACATTTTAAAATAATGCTTCCTTTAACCTATAAATTGATCGATTTCTGGTCGTTCTTTAGTAAACTTTTGGAGAGTCACTTTCGCTTTTGTCTGAAAAATGCTTTGTGAGAAGCTTTCTTTGATTTTCAGTCCTTTTCATACCTGTTGAAACACATCATTGAGGGGAAGTTTTCTACTATTCTCTGACGCTGTTTGATAGCTGTGTGAGGTTTTTTATTTGTCCGCAGGCTTTTAATATAAGCAGGCAAGCCAGAGGATGAAAGCTGGGCGTTACCAGGTGTGTGCAGGTTATAACATTGACTTTTCCCTCGTCTGTACACTTTCACTCTACTTCTCACCATGGAGCTCAGAGTTACAGCCCTGCTGCTTGTCGTGTGTGCCATCATCTTTACCACCACTGAGGGTAAGAAAACATTCTGTGACGAGAAGAGAAACATTGCTTATATTTGTAACAGCTTTTTAATATTACTTTTTGTGGCTCAGTAATGAAATGCTAAAAGAATAGTTATTAATTATCAACACTTATTCTAACAAAAGGGATGTAGAAGTTACTTGTGTACAAGTACAAATCTGTACATAATTTCACTTTTTCCTCTTTTTCCTGATTTAACTCAAAAATTTCCATTATACATAATATTAGCATAATGTTTTGAGTAGAATCTTTGAAATATTTATATGAATTCGAGAATTTCTTGTGCTTTAATCAGAGTACACATTCAAGCTCACCTGAACTTCATGTGCAAAAGCAACACGTGCTTCAATGGAAAGGATAAGACCTGAAAGACATCTGACTTTCTTGAACAAAGAAAGGCCTTATCATGGTCCACGTCACAAATTGGCTTTCAAATGCGGAGTGACCTACAAATTTTTTCAATAAGTTGGATTTTTCTTTTTTCAAAATTCTAAAGCTTTTTGTTTATCTCCAGGTTTAAATGAAAAAAAAAAAGCTCAGATTTTCAGTGTGGTCTTAGACCTTTGTGCCCCACTGTATACAGTCAAATACAAACATTTAATTACATGTTCAGATTATGTGTTGGTTTTGTAAGTGAAATTAAGTTAACACATCCTCTACAGGGAGCAAACTTAAATACTCAAATTTTAGTGCACAGATTCTGTTTATTTGCCGAGTTTAACATTTTGGAAAACAATGAAATGTAAAATATAAAGTGAGCCATAACGTTCGCGCCGGCCACATTTTATGTATTCAGCACATAAACAGTGATTGTACATTAAAATGTGAGGAAGTGTGTTCTCCGTAGAGAATGTGTTGTTTTTATTTCAACAAAAGATGTAATTTGATCAGGGGTGCCCAAACTTTTGCATACGACTGTATTACAGCAACGCAGGTCTTGCCAAAGGTAAGAACTATAAAGCGAAAAAACAAAACTGTATTATGATATAATGTGGAGTTAAATTGTGTTTATTCATGTGAAAATGATCTGTGTTTAAATCAAGCCAATTTAATGCATTGCTTTTACAGCGTACTCATACAAATGTACTTTGCCAGTTTGTGTCTTATGTAAGTGTTGTTTAAGAATGTTTTCATGCATATTCTTACATTGGGACGATATACACCTCTAGTCCATCTCTACAGCCATGCACAGCAGGCTAAGTGTGCTTCAGGTCAGTGGTTAATGAGTGCAGCGCTGAACTTAGTATAAGAGGGCGTGCCCTCCAACTTACTGGTAGTTGTGGTTGTTGAATGATGGACATATGTTTTGACATGCCTTGCCTGGAGGCACCGTGCTGCATCCGAACATTGTACAGGAATTCAAGTTGTCAGTTGTTAAGTCACGCCTCAGTTAAATACAGCCCTTTCATTAAATGTACGTCAAGCCATCAAGTTTCAAATCAGTTTCAGGTTAAATGCTCACGTTCACTCATGGAGTAAGTAAAAGTCCTCCCACGATTTTGAATCAAGATCAACTTGAATTTGCTAATTTGCTCAAGCTCATACCGTGTTTCTTCTAAAATCAATTAATATGTATTAAAAGGGAGTTTGCTCCACATTTGCTGCAGTAACTGCCTCTACTCTTCTGGGAAGACTTTACACTAGATGTCAGAACATTGCTGTGAGGATTTGATTGCATTTAACTACAAGAGCATTAGTGAGGTCAGGTACTGATGTTGAATGTTGGTTCTAGATTACAAATGCTGTTTCAACTTTCCCAAAGTTACTGGATGGAGCTCCATCACTCCAGAGAACACATTTCCACTGCTCCACAGCCCAGCGCTGGAGAGCTCTATACTCCTCTAGCTGACGCATGGCATTGAGCCTGGTGACCTTAGACTCGTGTGGCTTTTTCATACCGTCCCATTTTATTGTTAATGCTTTTCTATGGAGCTTATACAAACTGTTTGCTCAACTGAACACCTGTGTCAGCAATGGGTGCTTTAACCTTTAATCAGCTGAATTCACTAACTGAAAGGTGCATTTGGACACTTTTGAACAGAACTGTGTATAAAATCATGGCAGGGCTTTTACCTTTTGAAGCTGTACACATATGAATAAATTCTGCTGCATTGTTTTCTAACAGGAGGCATCCCACAGTGCTGTGTGAGAGTTTCAAGCAACATTCCCTGCAAAACTTTGCACAAAGTTGAGAAATATGAGGTACAGGAAGCATCTGGCTCCTGTGACACTGTTGCCTTGAGGTTAGTGTATGAAGTACTTTTCACCTTATTACAAAACCAACATAACTTTCTTATCTGATTTGTTTGTTTGTTTGTTTGTTTGTTTTTAGTCTTGATTTGGTGGTGCAGCTTTTATAGTTACACTTTTTTTGCTCTTCTTTCCAGACTGCATATGAAAAGCAAGATATACTGCGCAGATCCTAGATACGATAAAGTCCTGAATATTCCCAAAAAGAGCCAGCGCAAGTGGGTCCGGGATTGCAAAAAAATGATAAAAAAATTAATGCTGTGAAACACTTTCATATCCAAACAATGACTCAGCAGCAGCATGTATTTTCTTTTTAAAGTAGTCTTTACATAGGATGCATCAAATGTGATGTTTTGTACTGGACAACTTGTTCTTTACCAGTTGTGCTTGTTTCCTGATTTTTAATAAAATATACACGATATTACCCATAACTGATTGTCATTAATAGTCATTAAGCATCTCAAAGTTAGCTTTAATGATAAAATGTTGAGGTCTGTGTTTCAGTATTCAGGAGTTCATCTTCAGATGTTTCTCTATATAGACTGAAGTCCTATTAATAATAGTATTATTATTATTATTATTATTATCTTATAAACATAATAATGACAAAATAAAAGAAACACCAGGCAAAATTTGCATACTGCAATAACTAGACGTTGGTACAATGAGGAGTGTTTATCACGAGAAAAGCTCCCATTCTTCTTAGAATGTCATTACCTGTATTAAAAATCTAGCCAAAAATGGGCAGTTCTTCAAGAAGTGTTCCTCAATCATGTTTAACAGTCTGGAACAATCAATCCATCTTCCCCAAACACAGACCAGGTAATTATGTGGAACAAGTAACGACTTGCAGTTCTGTAACATTCAATAAGCGGCCCTATGATAAATAGATGTTTTGTGAGTTTATTGCAGCTTGGACTGAGAAAGGGGAATTCCACATATTTTTACATCTGCAAAATTCATTCTTTCAGACATAAACAAAGTTATTCAGAAGAGTTTGAAGTGAAATGGTGCATTGTAGAGAAACTTACCAAATCACATTTCTTTATAATGGTGGTGATAAGAATCAGGGGTTGAATAATGTCTACATGCAAATATAGCCATTTTATTTACTATCAAAAACCATCAATGAATTACATACATATGTATGTATTTATATGGTGATGGTAAAATAGTGGTAAATCTGAATAATTTTTATTCTTTTGGGGACTATTTTGCCTCACAACACCCTGCATATACCTCTTCATCATCAATGGATTTTTGAAAAATTCATTTTAGACCAAAACTCTTATCTCAAATCTATCATAAAACAATGTCTCAGATATCAGACAGCATATTCATAACTACTTCATGTAATAACTTTCTGTGAGGGAGCTTCAAGAGGTGGACGTCTGGTTCCTATCACCACTGTTATGAACAGTACTGACTCGGTAAGTTTATCTAGAACCTAGCATTTCACGCCAAACCACTCAGTTGACTTTGTTGTTACAACTGAATGATTGACAGATGCAGAAATGTTGACAGAAATTGTACGTCCATTTAAAAGCTTGTGTTTCAGTATTATCTATCATTTTATTATATTTATCTTTTGGTATAACTATGTCAGGGGAGACCTGGGGCAATCACATCCAATGAGAAGCAAGATACAGTGATGACACTACTTCTACACATGCTCAGTAGAGTTCTCTCACTGCGTGAGAAAAAGAAGTGGGATTGTTTAACATTAGGGGAAACTACTGACAAAAAACACTGTTTTTAAGTTGCAACTCTAAAAGTTTTGGTGCCTATGCAATGCATTTACTTACTAACATATAAAAGTGATTCATTCTTTTGCAGGTCAAAATTTAATCTGAGGGATCTATGCTAATCTTGTAGCTGGTAACATACAAGATTTTATTGCGGCTGCAAGTTCGGGGGCAAGTTTTCTCAGTCTTTCAATGTTCATCTGTAAAAACAGTTCAGTGTAAATCTGTAAAACAAAAAATGAAGATGAACATGACATGAAGACATTGTCATGAAACTATGCTGCAAAAACAGCCTGTTTTGAATTCATTGTTTCTGTGATGCTGAGAACCAAAACATTTATCTATCTATCCACCTATTCAGCATACAGCAGTTCAGCTCCAGCCCTTCATATTGAAGTTATGAGGAGTGTTTCCCTCTGACTGCTTTTTGAATGAGAAACAATACAGGACAGCCTTTCAGAACAGAGCTCATTTATCTTATATCAGTTTTAAAGGTACAGTAACAAAAACAGGATGAAGAGTGGTTGAAAAATCGTCATGTAAAATAAACTATGATTATTTTTGGTACATAAAACCACACAAATGTTATAAATGGACCTCAGGGAAAAATGAAATACAAGAAAAAATGTAGGGTCCTTTAAAGGCTCTACTTGATTCTACACCTCTATCAGTATATTTAAATAAAATACATTAACTTCTTTTAAATAGTGGAATAAAATTCTAGTTATCATTAGAATCAAGAAGTAGGCTATCATGGTTAAAAAAAAATGAAAATAAAAAACATACAAACAATAAATCCCTTCAGTAGCATTACTAAAGACCATGGCAGTAATGTGTATGCTTTGAGTTGTGTTTTATTTGAGATTGGGTGGGTTAGTGGTACTTTTGTTGAAATTTAAAACAAAATCTGCCTTTTCTTATTTTGAGTATCGTTTACCTCATTTAACACACCGTGAAGAGCTGTTAGCTTCATTCTTATTTACTAACTGAATACTAAACACTATTGAGAGTCATTCCACGAATTGCAATATGAGTCCATAACATACAATGCAATGTATAAGGGACATAATGTCATAATTGACATAATGTATGGAAACAAATGAAAAAGATATGTTTTATATTATTATTTTTAGGAATACAGGCATTTTTACACATACATACAGACAGTCATGGAAATTACACCTAAAATATTACTAAAGTTATTCTGACATTAGACTACTACCATTCTTAACTGTGTATCTGTTTCCACATTAACAGAAAATATACCACTTAAACAAAAACATTAATTTTAAGAAAATGTAATTAATGTTTCTGTGTCCTTGAGTTTTGCTGAACTCTGTCATAAGTTATTTAAACAGACATGGCATGCTTGGCAGCTGAGTTCAAGAGTGGGCATGTTTTTCTTTTATTCAATAGTGATAATTCGTTGTTTTCTCTGTTCAAGGTCCATCAAGCATAACATGTCCAACCTGTCACACAAACTGGATATTGACTGAAGAGTGACGTAGTTAACTGTTGGAAAATTGACAATAAAAGGGTGCAGTCTTGATAACAGGGTACAAAGCTGGCAGTTTTGCATGAGGGTGAGTCCCCAATTAGGGTGCCCTTTGTGTCGCACTGACATTACTTTTACAAATATGTACAACTCCTATTTCCAGAAAAATGCAGACCAAACGCAATAAAAACAATAATATGTGATTTGTTAATGCTATCGAACCTTGATTTAACTGACACAAGTGCAAAGAAATGACTTTTAATGTCATGGGGGGGGCGGTGCGCGAAAGACTTTAGGTTACGTAGCAACGAGGTTTCGCCTGGCTAGTAGCGAAAGGAAAAGAGAAAGACAGACGAACATTTGGAGATGAATGGACTTATTCGCACTTATAAGCAACGCAGTTGGTTTCCTGGTACGTTAAATCTGCAACGAGAGACTGTCAAACACTAAAAAGTTGCGAAGATGAAGTCGCTTCTCTAATTTTCCCGTTCCACCTTAAATGGTGCCGCCATTACATTCGGCGTCTCAGTCAGAATTTAAGGTGGAACCGGAAAGTTCAGCAAGAAGCTGGCGAATGAGAAGCGACTTCAGCCTCATAAAACAGCCGAAAGCTGAGAGACATTTTACAAGAAACTATTCAAATTTTGAGGAAAAGTTTTCTGGCGGAGATGGAAGAAAAGTGGCTATAGCTAAAGCTTAAAGCAGAGCAGAGTAAACCTGTGTTTTCGTTTATATTGTTTAGTCTATACTAAGACATTAACACATACTGAGACATACTGGACATAAATGTTGTGGCTCCCAAGGTGGTTTGATTTTTGTTGAATGACAAAATGGCTCTTCTTATCATTTGTGTTGTGACTCCTGATCTAACCTGGCTTTAATGCAGAGTGAGCCGGTCGGATTTCTCGCTCATCCAGTAGTGTTTTTGTTATGTGCTGCCACAGACTGTCCGGGCGCTGCACTTACCCACTTCCAAGTTCCGGCCTTTGCGTTCCGTCAACATTATGTTATAAATTAAAAATTTAGAAAATCGATTTTTGTGAATCGATTCAGAATCATCGCGATGCATCTAAGAATCGATTTTTTCCCGCACCCCTAGTAGGAATGCATGTTTTGTTTTTATTTTTTTGTATTTTATTTTTATTTGATTTTATTTTATTGTATTTTATTTTATATTTATTTTAATTTATTTTATTCACTACATGTAAATGTCTGTCTGATACTGTGCACTGTGAGCTCCTGTAACCAAAACCAAATTACTTGTATGCGTAAACATTCCTGGCCAATAAAGCTTGATTTTGATTCTGATTAGCAGGTGAATTGGGAAGGGTATCGTGATTGGGTGTACTCAGTCTTTGCAAGCAAAGATGGGCCGTGGCTCATCACTATGTGCCAAACTTTGTGAGATAATAGCCAAACAGTGCAAAAAAAAAAGAAAACAAAACAAAACAAAAAACATTTCTCAATGCAAGATTGCAAAGAATGTAGGTCTTTCACCATCTACCATACATAATATTGTGAAAGATTCAGGGAATCCTGAGAAATCTCAGTCCATGGACAAATAACTTAAAACATTAGCAAAACCTATCAAAGCACAGCATTTTTGGCTGCCTCAGCCCACTACAACTACACTTTACCTTCAAATATAATTCAAATGCTTCAAAAATATTATTATCTTAATTATCTGAAATATTCCACTACTCTTACATTTTCAGTCATTGGAATTCCCTGAAGATCTTTGGAGGAAGAAAAGTGTGTTTGCTCATTCTCTTTTTTCTTTATTTTGGATGATGTAATATTGACTGACAAGGTCATTCGAAAGTACAACCCTGTTACCCAATTTATAGAAAGTAAATCATTAATTTTACAAAAATCATTAGAATGTCCTTAAAGGGTAAATCTGCTGAAGTTTCTGCATTAATTAAATGGTTAAGATGTAGACAAACTGGTTTGGTGTGAAATGCTCTGTTCTAGAGAAACAGGGTCATGATTGCTCACAGTGCAGGTGATGAGAACCAGAGGTCCACCTCTGAAAGCTCCCTCACAAAAAGCTATTACATTAAATGGTTACGAATACACTGCCTGCTGTTTGAGGTATATTTTTATGATAGTTTTGAGAAGATTTTGGTTTGGTTTTTGGTTTGGTTTTGAGTGTGGTGAGGCAACATAGTCTCCAAAGAAAACTTTTTTCCCCCCTTTTCCCCTATTTTACCCTATTTTACCAACATCAACGTCACATATAAAAACTCATAAGACACGTGTAGGTTCACTGGTGGTTAAAAATATAATAAATAAAATGGCTTTATTTGTGTTGTTAACATGGCGGCCCCTGGTTCCTATCACCACCACTGTAAAGAAATCTGAATCTCTTCAGTGATCCATTTCACATCAAACCACTCTAAATGACTCATTACATTTCAGCAGTTGAATTTAATAGAAATTTTGAGAAATCGGCGGAATTCTCCTTTGATGCCCTCATGCCATTAGCATTGATGCTAACCACATTTTGTGTCTAATTCTATGCTTAAAAAAACCTCAACCCTACTCATTTAAAACACTGTCAGCAAAGAAGAGAGAGAGAGAGAGAGAGAGAGAGAGAGAGAGAGAGAGAGAGAGAGAGAGAGAGAGAGAGAGAGATTGTACTTGAGATGGGTTAAAACACCTCTTAGATTCCCCTCTGACACTGGCTGAGATGGGGTTATATTTTTGTTAATTATCACATACAAATAAAAGAAAATAATTACGAGGTGGGAAAGTCTGTTTTTTTTTTTTGTTTGTTTGTTTGTTTGTTTTTGCTTTTTCTGTAAGAGCTCTGTGTATCTGAGTGTATAAAGGAAAAAACGAAACGTTCACATTAGCATGATGTGTGACTGTGGAATGGCTGCTGAATGGTTTGGTAGCGGCGCTTTTCTGCCACCTAGCGGCCTCGGCTGACACTGCACTTCCCTGAGTTTCTGAGTGAGAGTGGGTGAGTCAACTTTACACTCTCCTGAACCAGTTTAGCCGCCTATACCAGCTTACTGACACCGTGTTCACACTCAGAGTGAGTGTGTGTGTGTGCGCGAGTGTACACAGTCTCACCAGCAGTGTAGAAAGTGTGAAATGGCTGCAATACTTACACGACAACGTTAAAGCGACAGGTTACCGGAAGCGCCATGTACTCGCAGCAAGATGTCAAGAACTCCTGCCTCAAGACAAGACCAGATCGTAAAGCTCCTTTCTGCCGCTTTTTATGCCCTCAGCTCCTTCCTCATCATCGTGGTCAACAAGACTGTTTTAACCAACTACCGGTAAGTTGGAGCTGTTAGTCTGTTCACTAGCATTACTGTTCACTTCCATTAGCATGTTCTTCACCTGTAGCCTAGATCCATGAGCACAGCGTGTCCTAACTTCAGGTTCTCACCAGATCTCTTTAGATTAAACCCTTCAGTCTGTAATAAAGTTATATATGATCATTTCCTCATGTTTGTGTTAAAATAAACTCCTACAGAGATGTTTTTCAGGGAATTTCAGGCTTAAATGGTTCTTTATATGGTGAAATGTTTCTTTAAATGCAGGGAGAAGGGTGTTATGGTTCTGTATAGAGCATTTTCGAAAATGGTTCTGTATAGCTCCAAGAAGGGTTCTCCTATTGTGACAAGCTTGTAATAACAACAACAACAACAACAATAAGAATCTTTATTTCGGCCAGTGGCAGCTCAAAGTGCTTTACAGACAGGTGATAAAGCTAAACTTTCTAGTATTATAATGATGATGTGTGGAAATAACGTATGAAAAAGTACTTGAACTGCATGAACTCAGCAGAAAGTGTACTGAGTCTACCCCTCTGTCTTATCATGGAGTGGACCGTTAGTTTATTGTAAGATTGCTGAATATCTTAAAGCAGCACTTCAATTTGATTTTTCACTACAAGAGTCATATGCTTTTTTACTACAACCTTAGATGAATACTAGATAAGTGGTTTTAGTTCAGTAGTCCATCTAGACTTCATGCTTTCATAGTTTTCCTGCTCTAACATAAATGATTAAGCTCAAGACTTGATTATTAACCAATGATGGGGCTCAGTGGTTGAGAAAAAAGTGTCTAGACCACAAGACTGACAGTAGGAGACACTGCACTAGGTTATAGATGACAACAACAATGTTACGATGTCATATATTAATGCATTCATAGTTTGTTACTGATTCATTTTTGTAGGGCTCAAAATACTTGTGTAAGTGTACAATACATTTGTGGGCCAGCAACTAAAATGTACTGCCTTTGTATAGATTTCCCTCGTTCATGTTCCTTGCAGTTGGACAGGTGAGTTTTTTTATTGCATTTTTGATTATGAATACTGTGGACTGTCACAAAGCTTGACAGTATTTGAGTCTTGTTTTTTCTCCCCTCAGATGGCTTTCACAATCATCATTCTTTACTTAGCCAAAGTCTGCAAAGCAGTCAGTTTTCAGGATTTTGACAAAAGCTTACCAAGAAAGGTGAATCTGATTAATTTCTTTTAATACTGATACTTATATAGAGGCTTGTTTTTGTAATATTTACGTTTACAGATAAATAAATAAGAACTATTGTCAATCTTGTTCTTATGTGGTGCTTTCCTCAGATTTTTCCTTTGCCATTACTCTATGTTGGCAATCATGTAACAGGACTGGGAAGCACGAAGAAATTAAGGTATAAAGCTTTTTGATGTTTATGATTCAGGACATATGTCATAGAAACAGCTAAGATTTATCTGAATATTGGATAATTTAACCCAAGATTATTGTATTTAATTGTGTTTACTATCGTTAATAACAGCTCTGTAAAGAGCCACAGGGAATGGCTATTTCTATCTGAACATGGAGATGTGTTTTATTGAAGAATGCAATGACTACTATAAAAAAAGTTGAACTATGTACTTCTTATAATGGTGACTCATTTTGGTGTAGTTTGCCTATCACTGACTTTCATGTTCCTCTCTGCTTTACAGCCTGCCCATGTTCACTGTGCTCAGAAAATTCACTATTCTACTGACAATGATTATGGAGTCAAAAATATTGAGGTATGTATCAAAAAAGATCTCCAAGTGGAATGATTTGGAGTCTTGTAGGCGTCTTTCATTGCAATTATTTAAAGAAACACCAAGGAACAGTTCTTATAGTCAGCCGCAGTGCTTTCTAAACTTAAAATGTTGGAACTGTTATTGAATATAATTCCATTTCAAGCATGTAAGATCTGCAAGTTAGGGTGAATTCTGCTATTAAAATTTCTGCTTACGCCTGCATAAACTATTAAAATGTAAACAAAGTCATTCAGAGTAGTTTGATGTGTAATGGTTCATTGTAGAGAAACTTATTCTCAAATTTCTTTAAAGTGGTGGTGATGGGAACCAGGGGTCACAATGTCTACAACGCAAACATAGCCATTTTATTTACTACCCCAAAATGAGCAGTGAACCTACACGTCTGCTTTGGGTGCTGTTTTCCTTGCACACCACTCTGCATGTGTTTAAAAAATGCTTTTTAGTCCAAAAACGTTGCTAGAAAACTGTCACAAAACATACAAAAATTCAGAGGCATCAGGCAATGTATTTGCAATCATTTTGATAAATTTTCTCTGAGGTGGCATTAAATGCTTTGGGTGTCTGGTTCCTATCACCGTCATAAACAGTTCTCACTTGGTAAGTTTTCTCTAGAATGGAGCATTTCATCACACCGCTCAGAATTACTTCGAATTTCATTCCATTCATTCGATTTCTTTGGTCTACCATGATGGAATGTGAACTTGCATCCTTGTGATTGTACATGACGCACTTTGTCACTTTCTTACTGTGCATTGAAGGTTCATTTAATTCCTTCAGTATTACTTGAGTATTACTTCAGGCACTTCAGTATTACTAGCTTCACTGCTATGTTTGCTTGGTTTCCCAGACCAACAATAACCCCAGAGAAATGTTTAAAGTATTCTATATAGAGCCCAACTGCATTAAAAATCCATCAGTGATCTGGGTTTTTTGGGTGTGCAGGCTGTATATGTCAAACCTGACATCGCTTTAATCTTACAGGACAACGTTTTCACCTCAGCTGGTGTGCAGTGTGCTAGCCATTGTGTTTGGGGCACTGATCGCCGCAAGGTACAGTAATCTATTCATGATTCACTGATCAGCATGTCACCTTTATTTCAGCAGTGTGGTAAAGATATCTCGACTCAAAATCATAACAAGTAACATTTTCTTAAATGTGTTTAGCTCTGACCTGGCATTCGATGCAGAAGGATACACTTTTGTTCTACTCAACGATGTCTTCACAGCTGCCAATGGCGTGTACACAAAGAAGAAACTGGGAGTTGAGGTATGTGTCTAATGTAACTTATTGTTTTAGCATGGCCGTTTATTAATATAATGGTTATTACTTTTTAATTAATATTAACATGTAATTGCTGTCATATCAAATGTACCTTATATCTCTATTTCCCCCCGTTTTTACTTTTACTTTACTTTAACATTTGGACACACCAGCTGCACTTTTCATTATAGGAATATTTTATGATGACTGGATCAGTAAAAGCAGTCCAAAATTACTTGGACTGAAAGCTTCTCACACTCTTAACAATAAAGGTGCCATAAAAGAACCACTTTTGATTCTCTAAAGAACCATGCAAGAGATTTGTGAGTGTGAAGAATCTTTCTAAGGTTTAAGGAATCTTCACATAATGAATAGGTTCTATACCGGTTTAAAGCGAACACCACCGATTTTACAAAAACTGTGCATAATTAAATAGTAAAAGTCGAGTGGTTTGATGTGAGATGCGCCATTCTGGAGAGGCTTACCATCTCAGATTCCGTTACAGTGGTGGTGATACACACTTTAAAATGATGGTTCATCAAGGGTTCTTTTAGTAAAGAAAATAGTTCCCTTTTCAAGGGTTCTTTGCATTGTTAAATGGTTCTTCAGAAACAATGTGCTATAGATCTTTTGAAAACAATAGAAGAACCCTTTTTGGTGCTTTTTAGAATATAGCACCATATAAAACACATTCTCCATCAATCTGAAGAACACTTTAACAATACTAAAGAACACTTTAATCAAGCAAAGGGTTCTTTGAGTGTTTATGGTTCCATATAGCACCATTTTTTCTTACTAAAGAACCCTTGAAGAACCATCTTTCTTAAGTGTGTAAGTTCGCTGTATTTGAATTATTTATATTATTTTGAGATGATTAAATGATGCAGAAATGTAAGAAATGTAAACAATGGTGGAATTCCACTTTAAAGGTTCTTCCTATAACATTAAAAATGTTCTTCACACTCACACATCTCATTTACAAAAATCGTTCTCTGAAGAACTATCCATTGAAATCTTTAGGGGACCTAAAGTGTTTTTTCTAAGGCATTTCACAAAGAACCCTTTTAGCATCTTTATTTTTAAAGCGTATACATGAAAGTTGAGACTGACTTTTCTTTCACTTACAAAGTTACTGTTTCAAAGATGTGAAGTACCACATATATATACATATATATTACCACAGCAACAATATGTTTCTACCATAAATTTATAAATGCAAGTATTGTAATAGAAATGACTTTAATGATAAACACTAAAAAAGTGTAAATGTCAGGTGATATACCTTGACTCTACATCGAAGAGTTGACTATTTCCATTGTGTCATATTCCTCAGGGCTTTATTTATCTAGGAAAACTGGTGAAAACTTGTCCTGAACGTGGAGCCTTTCCCACTAAGTAAACACCGGATTTATCAGTCACCAGTTAACTCTGCCTTTCAGTTGTGCTGATGTATTGTTCTGCTTTCAAAAGGGCCTTGGCAAGTATGGGATTTTGTTCTACAATGCATTCATCATCATTATACCCACTGCTTTGGCGAGTGCCTACACTGGAGATTTAGAAAAGGTAAATGATTGAGCAAGTGAGTGAAGGATTACATGAATAAATTATTGGAAAAATGTGATGCAGCTGCATTAACATGAAAACATTCATCTTGTTCTGCTTTTTTTTTAGGCCATCGCCTTTAAAGGGTGGCTGTCCCTGAGTTTCATTTTGTATTTTCTGCTGTCTTGCGCCATGGGGTACGTTACTCTTCATCTTGTCATTTTGTAAATGAAATGCAGCACTTTTAACGATTCCAGCTGGCCTCTAACAAGTGCAGTTATAACTTTGATGTTTTATCATTTCAGGTTCGTTTTGATGTACTCTATTGTTCTGTGCAGCTATTACAACAGTGCCTTAACCACTACAGTTATTGGAGCAGTTAAGGTTTGTATTTAACCTTTTGTTTTTTTTTTTTCTTTTTTATTCTTCCTTTTAATCTTTATTTGATCTTTTGATCTTCATTTGCCTTTCATTATGTTTCTTGAATCTCCATCAAATTTGTCTAATAGTCTAATAGACATTTGAGTTGATAATTGCCAAGGATCATGCTTAAGCATGGCCAGACAGGTGTTGGTCCGTAAAGCAAAGAGACAGGCACATAATAGACAAAAGTAGGCTGAAATACCAGAGATCAGTGTGGTTTAGATTGCACAAAAGTTGACAAGACATTGGAAAGAGAGTATCTGAGGGATATGTAGTCCATATTGTTTGATGGTGGAATTGGACTGGTGCTGAACAGGTCCCAGTAGTTAGTAGGTGGGCACTCTAAAGGTGCAGTATGTAAGATTTAGGGGGATCTATTAAGAGAACTGGAATATAGTATACAAAACCATGTTTTCATTAGTGTGTAATCTCATGTAATGTGGAATTATTGTGTTATCATTAGCTTAGAATGAGCCCTTTGTATCTACACAGGAGCAGGTCCTCTTGCGCTGCCATGGTTTTACAGTAGCCGAGACTGGACAAACCGAACACTGGCTCTAGAGAGTGGCTTTGCATTTTTATGTTGAAGTGGTTGCCGGTGCTGTTTAACCATTTTGTGTTTTGAGAAGTTTGAGAACCCAAATTGTGACAGATGGAGGATCATACTCATTCTTCAGCACAAGAACAAACAATGAAGGGTGAATCCTCGTTGTCAAAGAAGCAAAAACATGAAGAAGCGAAATGAAATTGAGACAGGCGACAGCAGAAAACCTGATGGCCACTGTATGTTCTGCCACATGCTTGGAAAGGGAGGGGTGAGGGGAGGGGTATTCAGTTGGTTGCAATCTGCAACCTCACCGCTAGATGCCACAATATATTATAGCTGCTTTTTTGAGCACTGACAGGCTGACCTGAGGGAGGAGTGGCTAAGGACGTAGTAACAGCACCTGCCATGAATGACCCAGAGTAGTAGGAGGGTTAGAGAGCATTCAGGCACATGTACTAAGACGACTTTTTCTTTAAGGGTTTAGTAGCATGTGTGGGTTCCAATGAAGTCTGAGCTGAACTATTTAGAACAGGAAGATGGAAAAAAAAATTGGGGTTTGAATTTCAGCTGTTACAGTGAACTGTTGGTGGCCATGCATTCCTAAGCTTTTTGGACTTCAGAGAAGATGTTCAAAAGTATCCAGACACCTCTTTTAAGTAGTAAATGAACTCATTTTAAGGTGCATCCATTGCTGACGTTTGCAGAAAAACTCTAGAAAATCATTGCCAGTAGAAAAAGCCCACTGCCAAGCGTCAGATAAAGGGGTGTAAAGCCCCCCAGCATTGGGCTGTGGAACAGTAGAACTGTGATACAGCTTCATCAAATACCTGTGGGAGAGTTGGACTGGCTTTTGTGATCCAGAACTAACAACATCATCACCTGACCTCACTAATGGTCTGGTGGCTGAATGCAGTCAAATCCTCTCCATAATGTTCCAACCCTCCCAGAAGAGTAGAGGTTGTTGCAACAGCAAAAGGGGACAAACTCCCTATTAATACCCTTGATTTTAAAAGAAACGTTGGATGAGCAGGTGTCTACAGACTTTTAAACATATTGAGTCAGTTCCCTGGACACAGATTACATCTGATCTAAGATTAAATTGTAACATCAGTAGTCATTTACTATAAAAAGACCTTTTTAGTTTAGGATTAAGCTAGAAACTGTATACTGTTGCTTGCAGATTTCTGATAGTATTGTGCAATATGGGAAAGACATGCTAGTTAAGAAGTAATAGATTAGTTCATTTATTCCAAAATGACGATCAGTTCTACAGTCCATCAGTTTTAATTATCCACAAATCTGAATTGATAGACTTCTAACTTTAGTCATTGGTTTTTGTGCTGAATGCTTCTTTTTAGTGTTTGGCCTCATTTTGTTTCCTAATTCTCATAGCTCTCGTTGAGTTTTGCTGAATGGAGGCAGATGTCTTCCTCTTTAAAGTTTTGGTTCCTCTGTGTTTCTTCCTCTTGCTCATTTTCCTACTATGTCACCATCAGCTTAATCATGTGGGGCTTAGGTCTTGATTTCTTGATTTCTTTTTAAATGCTATTTAAATAAGTTTGAATTGAATTGAGTTCTGAACAATATTATTTTCACTTTTCATAGAATGTTGCTGTCGCCTACATTGGTATGTTCTTCGGAGGAGACTATGTCTTCTCATGGGCAAACTTTGTAGGACTAAATATATGGTAAGATACCTTAACCATTCTAAATAGCAGACATTTGTGATGTGAAAAAAATATTTTTTACTGTCTTTTTACCATTTTACTCTCCTGCTTTAACTCCTTCAGTATCACTGGTGGCTTGGTGTACTCATACCTGACCTTCCAAAGTAGCTCTTCTGCACAAACCACAAACCAAGAAGAGGACAAACTGAGAGTTCCTGTGGTAGAGGAGCTGCAGGACAGAGCTGAGAAAAGACCACTCACTGCAGTCTGAGCTATAGACTGTAGCCTATAAAGCTGCAGTCAGGAATTTGTGTTTACATTGAACACTAACTATTGATTGTTATAGCCTACCTTATTAAATGACACTGACGACAGTGTGCAGTCCATATGTAACTGGACTATATCTATAGATCTGAACACCGACTATGAAGTTAAATGCTGACTATTAGCATCAATTCCGTTCATGTGCAGCTTTTATGTACTGTATGTCTGTACTGGCTGTGGGATGTAGAATCGCAGCTCTTTTTATACATAGTCCCCGTGTTTCGGCCGCTGTGATTTGACAGTTGGCTGTTCACTTGTTTCTTGGCTAGCTATGTGTCACAGCAGACTTAGTTCACGCACAAGAGAGCTAACAAAAGGTCTAGATATGACGTTTGCACCTGGAGTCTCTTGCTTTTATCTCTTGACACCAATGAAGCATCAAAGCCAGTAAAGAAGGCCATCATGAAGCTGAATAAATCAACCAGGACAGCCAAAATATTAGGCGTCACAATCAATGAGCACCCTCGTAGGCCAGTATGTAAAACAGTTACCACAATATGCAAACCAGTTAGCAAGAGCATGAATGGTTGTCAACGGAACTGACTCACTGTTTCTTATCTGACTTACATAGAACAGAATAGTCTACTTAGATCCAGTAACTCCCTAGATCTCACATATATAGAACAGAATAGTCTACTTGGATCCAATAATTCCCCAGATCTCAGGGGATGGCCCATCACCTTACAGCAGGACAGTCACCCCAAACGTAGTCGTATGCACAAGTTTGGGCATCCCTGTTTAAAATACATATTTTGTTTGTTTTGACGTGAAAATAAGTACACATCCTCTACATTGAACAGTTTAGCAAATTCATATAAATTATATATAATTTGCAGAACAAATTTCATGTTTACATTTTTTGCCCTGTAGAGGATATGTAACTTGTCATTTATAAAATCAACAAAACTTGTAATTTGACCAGAGGTATTCAAATGTTTGCATACAACTGTACTAAAACAACCATGTGGACAAGAAGTGGAATGTTATTTATTTATTTTTTTTATGTCAGCCGTCCAACCTGACCCACACTGAGCATGCCTTATGAGAACAAAGTCCACAATCAATCAGGAAATCAAAAAACCCCCAGTCCATCAGCAAATCACTGAAAATTATTGCATAACTAACGTACTACCAGTGAAGATGCGTTATATCAGGATGTCTATGAATCAAAGATATTGTGCAGTCATTGACGGTAGAATTTTTTTTCCATTTGGAGCTTTTGAAGGCAACATGCCTCCAATGGAGTCTTCCTAAATTCAGTCAGTGCCACTTTCTTTGGAAATTCCTGATTGTGACAAGACTGATGTAATACTTTTATAGGCAGTGCATATCGTATTGACATTTTTTTTAACAATTTATTTCTGTTTGCATATTAAAAACAACTGTTTTGGTATTAAATTTTATACTTGTTGATCCAAACTGTACAGTGATAAAATATGTCAAATATAAGTACTTGAATATTTATATCAGCACCCTTAGGGGGTCAGAAAGTGCTTTTTCTGACAACTGTCAGTTCCTGCCTCAGGATATAGTAAATATAGTTACATCTAAGTAATGTGTATGGAACATACACTTTTACATTTTTGTTGATATGAAAAGTGTATTGTATATTGTATGTGTACATTTAAGAAAGACAATAATGATCTTGTTTTTCTGTATTGGGATTTATAAATCATGACTAATACAGCACAGATGTTGTCAGTCATTTATGGTATTTAATGAAAACCAGCAGTTCTAACACTAAGGATTATCTATGCTTTACACATTTACAATGTCCTTTCCACACAGCAAACTTTCCATGTTACAGATCGAACAACTTGATTTACATTCTGTTGTCACAAAAAAACAAAGGCAATCACAAAGGACGCTTCTGAGAATTTAACTTAAAAGGTATACCTTGTGCAGCTTTCCAAATGACTGTGAAATATATTACTTCTATATATAAGGAAACATACAAGAATTAGGTGTACTTAATAAATCTGTGTCTCACTGGATGTTGAACTGTAAAAATGTTTTCCAGTTTTTTTAACGTATTCTCACCAGATTAGATCGTTTTGTGAATGAATTCTCAGCACACAGGCATCTGAGTTCATGTAATAAGCCAAAGTTCACTGTACTAACCATCTAATTGTATCAAAGGGATTGGTAAGTGTTTTCTGTTTTTAGGAAGAAAACTTTAAAAGAAAGTCAATCGATAATAAAGGCTTTGGAAGATGAAACCCTTAATGTAGTGTTTCAGACTATGAATTTGCCACCGTCAGACCACAGAATGCATCAAAATGCAAAACTCTTTGTATTGCCAAAACAAGTGCTATCTCTTGGTTTTAAGTAGAACCTTTTGAATATTCTTTCTACTGTCACACTTTTAAAGTTGACAACCATTGACATAACCATTAACCCACTGTTGAACTGCTGAAGTAGAAGTAACACTAAATGTACATGATTCAGTACAGCTTGTAACCATGAAGCAATGCCTGCTATAAACTAATAAGTGCATATACTGTATGTCAGCGGAAAGTATACGGAGCTTACTATTTCTATGTTTCTGAGCTTGAGTTAGTCAATGTAACTGCGCAGTCTCAAACCTCAAAGCCTTAGGATGACAGTAGGTGGCGGGTTTGAAAAACAACAGTGGTCTTAAATACCACTGAAGAGTGAGCTGAAGAGACAACAAAGGTCTATATGCAGCAAATCATACTACTGTTAAATTTCAGGTGCAACTAATAATGTAAAATGAGAGTAGGATTATAGTCTTTCCTCTTGTTTGTCACCTCTTGCTTTCCCTTCGTGGCCAAATACACAGAGCCTATGCTGGTTTCATCTTGACTGGACTGGTTATACCATCGCCAAAAACACTGAGTGCAGTAGGTGAATGCACCCTGTATCACAACCTCGCACGCCTAAACCCACCTATGTACACAACAAACATAAACATGCTCACAACTTATCACACAAACTTGTATGAAAAAAGAAAAGAAAAACTCGTTACCACAAAAAAGTGCACAACACAACCAAAACAAAACATGAAAACGATCGTCTTTCTCTCTCTTTGACAAGCAGAAAAAGAAGAAAACATTCTTCATATAAAGATATCTACCATAGTAGCAGCCTAACGTTAAAACTGGAAGCAAAAATAAGGTGCTTGTAGCTTATGCCAACCTCACAGGTGCACTGTTAGGCTGGAAATCCTAGGGTTACAAACACTGAGTAAAATCGCTGGTAATGTAAAATCCCTGTGAAGTGCTGAACTAGGAGGGACGTTAAGAGATCTCACTTGCAATACTTTGCCTTACACTGCATATTACTCAGTATGGTGCAACCCCAGGCTATAGTTTACACTGGTGAATTCAGGGGGAGAGGTTGTTGGCCAGCTCAATGAGAGCCAGTGCTCCGTGGAGGCGCTCCCTCTGTTCCTGGAGGCGTCGCCGGGCTGCCCCGCCCCCACTGCTGCTCTTCCCCTCCTCTGGTTCCTCCTCCTCCCCTTCATCGGAGGGCAGGAAGTCCATGGGGTCCTGCTGCTCCTGGTCCTCCATGGCAACCTTGTTCAGGGTTTTTCCTTTACTTGAGGCAGGGGCTCGCTGCTCTCTCATCTGCCAGTACCTGAGAATGGAATGTTGTTAGATTTGCTCATTTATGTCTGTTAAGTTCACAATAATGCCAATTTATTTGACTGACCAACATTATCAATGAATTTCCTAAAACCATGTTTGTGTTCACAAAAGAACAAATTCTATTCTTTCTAGCATCCAAGATCACAATGCTACAGTGCTTTGGTAGGCCCCACCCAGTTCCTAATTGGGGAAAAAACAATAGTTTCTTTATTTTTCGAATAACCCAATAAAAAAAAATTGCTTACTTTGCTAACCACTCAGCCACGGCCTTGTTGTCAGCCCCCTGGGATTTCCCTGGCTCTCCCGTGGGCTCCTCTCTCTTCAGCCTGGCGTATGGGTGCTTAGGGCAGTGTCGATTAGCATGAGTGAAACGGCTACCACAGCCTAGCGGGAAAATAGAAAGGAAAGTTATTCTTGGTATCTTGATGTACCGCAGTGGAGTAACAGTTCTGTTCAAGTAAAGTGGTGACCTGAAACATTACAAGCATTCTAGAGAATTTTAAGTGGTACAGTTGTCTGCATCCACTCAAAAACATATTTGAATTAAATTTGAATCTGGCTTTAGAACATTAATCATCAGTAATACATATGTAATAACTATGAAATTAACTCTGGTTCGTAATAAACCACATCATTTCAAAATTGTCTAAGTTGTTCTTACCCTTCTCTGAGCAAACAAAAGGCTTCTCTCCAGTATGGAGGCGCTGATGGGTTTTCAGCTGGCCGCTCTGGACGAAGGCCTTCCCGCACTCTGGAAAATCGCACAGGTAAGGCCTCTCACCTGCGACAAGAGCAACGGAGATGAGTTTTTGTCCTCCTGTCCCATCTGCACAGGTTACGGCAGTCAAGTGGACAGGGACTTACCCGTGTGTGTCCGTTTGTGTGCCTGCAGTGACTTCTCTCTGGGGAAGACTCGGTTGCAGATGTTGCAGCGGATGCGGCTGGTGGAGTTCTCACCTTCACTGATGAGCTCGCGGACGGTGTCGGCACGTGGACGGCCACGACGGATCCCATCCTAAAACAAGGCAGAAGATAAAATGTTAACACCCTGAAAAGTGTGTTGAAACACAACACACTAATCATTAAACCAGTATCATGCAAATGACCAAATTCGACCTGAGAATAAAAAAAGATTTTATATTTTACACAATGAAGAAAAGCTGTGAGCAACCCACAGCCAACTTAATCCACTTTTATTTATTTATTTACTTTTAACTGCTTGTCTGCTGTAAGTGTGCTTTGCTTCTGAAGTGCTATCATGTCCGCTGCTTTTTGGCGCGCAAAGCTGACGTCATTTGAAAAGCCAGCTGCTCCAGTATGAAGAGGGTTTTAAAATCCAGCCTAAACGCGGGCCTTTTACCAATATGCTCAAGTTTTATTCCAAATAACTGTTCAAATCACTTAATACAGCACCACAAGCATAAAAATCTGCCTTCCAACTACTTTCGAACTGAGACGCACCGTTTCCACACAGTGTCTTGTGTGTTCCTTTGTTTTTACACAGTAACTGAGGTGCTTTAGCGCTAAAGGGGCTGTTTATTACCTTTTTTCTCCGTTTTGCCAGATATTTTCAAATCGATAAAGAGCCGTTTAAACAGACTCGTCCATGGCGAACACAGTTCTCACCTTTAAGTGCTCTGCGGAGGAAATGTCTGTCTCTGTGGCGGAGGTGTTTCTGGTGGGAGAGGCGGCTCCGCTCCCTGATCCCGGACTCAGAGTCACATTGTGCGCGTTTTCTCCCCATCTCCACGGGTACACCATGAAGTCGCTGAAACCGGGGCTGGTGGGCATCATTGAATCCACAGTTTTTGGTTTTATCGGAGTCGTCTTGATAACAGAGACCAGGACCCTTTTTGGAGAGTCGTTACAAAAAATAACTTGAGGGTGCTTGCTGTCAGCCATGGTAGGAAAAAAATATATGTTTATATCTAAAATTATAAAATAATAAAAGTTCAAAAGCTTTAAAACGTGCTGTGTAAAATCCTCCACGAAGCTAGCAAAGTAGCCTAAGTGCGAAGAAAAGTATCCAGCTGCAGAAAAGTCAGTGCGTCTGTCGTTCCGCAGATACGAGCTGATTCTGCAGTGAAGTAATCATTTCCAAAAAGAAATGTAAAGCAAAAAAAAGCACAAAAACACAAAAGCTCCGTCCGAGTCAGTAAATGTAGGTACTTTCCGCCCTTCCCGCTGTCAGGCTCGTTACAGTGACCCGACCTCACTGCCTCTTTTCCCGCGTTAGAAATCGCGCCTGAGCGGGACGCGACCAATCAGCGGCGAGGATGTTAGAGCCCGCCGGAGGACCGGACCAATAGCAGGAGGAGTAACACGGGGAGAGCGAACGCCGGCCAATGATAGATGTCGTACAAACAGTCCGTGCTCGGACCAATGCGGTTTAAACACTTAAGACCGCGCCGCTGCGAACTGACGGCTCTCTGAGCCAATAGCGGCGCGTCGTTCGCCTCCCGCGCGCTGCAACGGATGTTTACGCTCCTGTTTAAAGGGAACGGGAGAAGGAAGGAGGCGCGAAGGTTACGGTTATATAAGCAAACCGCCAAAAACACCTTTATACTCTCAAACAGAATGTAAGAAAACTGCCCCGAATTGATTTATTCACAGTCTAGACCATTTGGCTGCAGTTATCATGAATGGGTTCTGGATTTGAAATATAGTCTAGTATTTAAACTGCGTCAGCTGCATCAGCTACTGTTACAGTGCACGGTTTATTACATGTCTGTTACAACGCAGAGTTCATCAAATAGCATATCGATTGCAGCTTACCTAGCTTTACAGTAAGCTCTTTACACAGGCTTTGATACTATTACTGAACTTAAACTGTGAATATACTCTGAATATACTCGACTTTTTGAATTAGAAAGTTGACATCCCCTAAAAGGGAGGATCTTCCCTGCTGAAAAAAGACAATTAGGATTAAAACCTGATGGTTTTGCTTCCTATTAAGAATTGGCTTAATGATTACAATTAAGAGAACTTTAGTTTCCTGTGGTAACACCTTCAAATCCCATTAGAAAACCATTAAATGCATCTGGGATCAGTCCCAGAACACCTGTTAGACCATTAGAATCCATTACACTGTGATATCAACCCATCAGGAAAACACTAAATATCACCACTGACTACTGGACACCACCAGGAACCAACAGAAATGTTTGTTTTCTATGACTTTTTTCAGCAGGGTTTAGTAAAGACAGTGGTTATTACATAGAAACGTTAACACTGAACCATTTGCATGGTTCTTCTCTATCATTGAAAACCTGTTGTATCTGGATGTTTAAAGAACCTTCAACAAAATTGTTCTATATAGCACAAAGAAGGTTCATCTATTGTTACAATACAGACTTTTATAGAAACTTCTTTTTTTTTGTTGTTGCAAGCAAGTCATAGAAAGTTGCCATAACCATACACCCTCAACCAATACGAGAACACATTTCTATTCTGTAAGTAACTTGAATTCTTATTGCCCCTTGGCCAATCGCAAACTTTGCACTGTGCACGCCAAAGGCAAAAGGTTTGGCCACCCCTGATACAGAACCCCTTTTTGCTGAGAGTGTATAATAACCTACTTCTGCCAGTGCATTTCTAATGTGGCAGTACAGAAACATGCGACCCTTAAAGGGAAAAGATGTTAAAACTGCCTTATAATATTTAGTAGTCTTACAATAATCTAATATGCTGATCCATGATTGGTCAGTTTCAGTACACTTTCCTGTGAACTGATTATTGGCACCAAGGCCAGGCAAGGCAAACTTTTCTGACATGAAGGAACTCCGACATTATCTTAATGTATCAATATTCAGATGACAAAGTGGACCATTCAGAAAGCATCATAAAACCACAAGAAATAAAACATCACATCACAACTTCATTAGAGAATGAAGGATTTACTTTAAAAAGCATGTGATGATTCAAATCCTTTCCACACGAAGGTTTAGTACATAATATATAAACGTGCTAAGGAAATAAGAAGCATGGTAAGACATAAATGTTGAAATGGGACTCAAAATAAAAGTTATAAAGTATTTACAGGTAAAGATTTACAACAAGTCCTTTACACTTATCAAATAGTTGCGTATATACAGCTCTCAGCTGCCAACAGAGGTTGCTTTAAAATAATATTCACATTAGTGTACACCTTTCAGTTGGTCACAGAGTGGTATATTATGGACCACACAGGTTTCACACAGGTTGGGGTACAGTACGTTAATAAGAAGACTACATAATAATAATAATAAAAGTTTACTTCACATAATGTTAGCATTCTAAAGCTCCCTTTGTTTCCAGTTCTTTCCGGTAGATAACATGATTTAATCCTGTCAGCACCATCACCTTTTAAGATGTCTTACATAGAAAACCTTTTTGACAGCTCACAGAAATATATATATATATATATATATATATATATATATAAAAACCTGTAGACTTTATGAAGTAACTCTCTCTTGGGTCTTCAAGGAACAGTTTAGCGGAGTAGAGGTGCTCTAGCTTTTTGCATGACATGACTGTGAGGAGAAAGAAAGATTCAATTAGCATGTAAAGAACATGTATTTAATCCAAAATAGCACCTGATTACAATTAAAGGGTGAAGAAGCAGTAGGAAGCCAAAAGAAAGAAAGAGAGAAAGAGGTGAAATACCATAGTCTCGTAAAGCGCATTGATTGCAAAGAGTGTAGAGTTTTCCTTCTTCTGGACACTGCTCTTCTGTTACATGGAGAGTTGTTAGATTGAAAGAAAGAGACATACACACATGCTTATTAAAACTACAGTTCATGTGATTACACTGGCTAAGCAGAACATTGCAGTTGCATTATAAAGCTATGAAAAAGCTCTCATTCCATGAAGGGGACAGCAAGAGGCAAAATTATTTGTTATTGAGTCTAAATTATTTGACTGTTCATTGAGAGAACGGACCCCTGGACCCCCTCAGGAGAATGCACAATCGGACTAAGCAGGCAGAACAGTGTGTAAGCCGAGAGTCAAGAGGAGCTATAGCCGTACCTGCTAGAGTCATGCAGGAAGTCAAGTAAAGTAGAGCGTAGCTTGCAGACTCGTTTTTAAGTAGTTTGTGAAGCTCAGCCTGTAGGGGGCTGCTACTGACTTACTAATTTGACGAGACTCAGGCTGTGGTGATATTGCTGGGTTGAGGAGGCAATGGCAGCAGCTCACTGTTGATTGAGCTTACGTGCTTTAAGTTTGCCTGGCTGCCCATGCTACCTGTAGCCATAGGGCCTGGACTGACTTCAGAGAACTCATGGTTCTTTTCACTGGCCATTACATGCAAGTTGCCTAAAGATCTTGCAAGTCTGGAATGTAATAACGGGCTGTCAAAGGGAAGGGAAGGGAATAGATCATTTGCACAAAATGAATGAGAGCAAAACCAACTGTAGCTCTGCCAAGTTGGCTAGTTTTAACTTGTCGGCAAATTATTTACTACAGTACAGGCACATGCTTTGGCGATCGTAAAAATACCAACCTGTTAGCTCTGTTGGATCCAAGTGAGGTTCTGGTTCTTTTCCTAACGTCCACATTATCGGAAGGATTCTGAGATTTTACAGATTTACAGCGTTGTGCACTTGACTGTAGAATTATTCTGCATAAAACAGAAAATATCATCAAGCGAAACAAGTGACATAAAATAAAACAATATTTAAGCAACAGAACATGAAAAAAAGAGTGTGTTATCATGAATAACATCACGGCTGTGATTCGGTCGCAGGCAAAAGCTGAAGGCAAGTACCATAGATTGTGTTATCCGTGATATGATCTTTAGTGTTTCGTTGATTTTATATAACAGTTCAGGAAAATAAATGGGGAAAAGTAAAAAGAAAGAAGCCCCAAATATTATATAAAATAATTTTGGCTTTTCCCTCCACCAAATAAGTAGCATCCTTTGCATTGTGGATAGCATGGTAAGATTGGTTTTATATTAGACATACGCTGGTTATTTAACTTTCTCTCCTCAATTCCTCATGAAATAAAATGTCCAAAAATGACCAAACCTACATTTTTCTCAGTCCCCAAAGGCAGAGAACCAAATACATTTCCTGTGTGTGTAGCTAAAATCAAATAATAATAATAAAAAAAAATAATAATAACAATAGCAACAACAACAATAATATTTATTATTACTATTATTATTAGTAGTAGTAGCAGTATTAGTAGTAATAGCAGTAAATACTTGTAGTAAAAAGAGTCGTTTCCTTAAAGCATAACACAAATTCCAGTTAATTGAACCAACTTTATTTACTACTACTACTACTACTACTACTACTACTACTACGTAATTTGAAGAGATTGTCTTATTCTAATTAAATCCATGGCAAACTCCATGTTATGTACTTTACAGAAGGTCCCTTAATACTAAAGCATCAGTGATCTGCATTTCCAAAATGTTATATTCAGCTAAATTTAACAATGGACACTTGAAATATATTTATTTGTAGGTTTTTTAGTTTTTGGATGTTTTTATCATGTCAAGAAGAGAACGTTGAATATCCTGTGAATGTCATTTTCTGTTTTTGTATGTGGTAAAGAAGACTGAACTAACAGTTAGCTACAAAGCAGTTGTTACTTAGCAACTAATGCGTTGCGGAATGATACAGTGGCAGTAGAAAAAAAATGTGCTGTTATCACAAAGAATAGCGTAGCCAGAACGCTTTCTCAACCAATCAAACTGTACTGTCGGAACTGTCATAAAATAACAGACAAAGTGTGGGCCATCAGATTTTCAAATACAGAACAGATTACCTTAATGAGTTAGATGTTGACCTGGTGTGAATTTTATTCTCCTCTAACCTGTAGCAATAAAAGACATTTCAATATGTGAGAAAAGCTGGACACAAAGCACAAATGTGACAAAGCCAGCTGCAGGAGCCATGTCAATAATCTTACAAAAGCCATGTGCTGCACCCCTGCAGAGCAAGCAAACAGGGATGCCAGAGTCATCCCCAAACAGAACAAACAGAGGGATGCTTCAGAGTTCTGCACCTCACCACCAACCCCTCAATGTCAACAAAACCCTTAGTAAATAGGACTTTTATGAGGGTAGGGAGGGAAATACTGGAGACAAACTGTACATTGTGGACAAGAGGAAGACTACAAACTAATGGAAGATGAGTAGCGATGCAATATTGGTAGATTAAACCAAAATTTAAACCACTTTATATGCATTTTAGATCGGTTAAAATATTTAAGCACAGGTAGGCTCATTCTCCTACAATGTGGGGTTTTGGTCTCAAGAATTTCGCAACCAACAGCAATGATAATGTGTGTACTGCACTGACACCAATAGATATGCATAAACATGAGAGGTTACTGACAGAACCTGTAAGGAGCCCTGTTTTAGACTGGAAAGGGGAATCATTGAGACAGATAAGACGTGAGCACACTTACAGCATTCCAAGTCCAGAGAGGGGTAAGTGGTACAGGCGGGAGAGATCACTTATAATCCTAACCCGTCTATACAGTAATGGAGGACGGAAGAGGGGAAGCCAAATAACAGCCACCACAGGACAAGGCTACAAAGTGAAGAAACCAGCATAGCTACCAGCCATCTAGACATGGGGACATTTTAAGTAAAACAAAATAAGGAAGGACAGACAACAGATTTCCATTCAAGAGACTTCCTCTTTTCCCCACTGCAGACTAGATCAAGCCCAAGTTTTACCATATAGTATGACATTTTATAGAAGCGCCATCTGCATTGATTTGTAAAGAAACTGACTCAATTTGCCAGGTTCCTATTTTTTTGTCAGAAATGTAAAACTTGTCTACACACAGTTCAGATGGTTGACTTGAGCTAATTCAGTCTGCAGCAGTGTGGAGAAAAGGGGGATGCCTGAGGCACTGCCATAAGCTTGCCTCAGGTACCGTACAATACAGAGCCATGCATTCAAGGTGTTAATGCCTTCTGTCATGCAAAGGAAACAAGACTGAGCAAAAACCCACAAAACCTATACAGCAAGACATCATGCAAGTCAAACAATAAGGTTAGAACCTCAGATCTTGTTCCATGTTGAAAAAGAAGTGCTAGCTTTTTTTATACATTAAAACAATATAAACTGTTAGAAGAAATGCAACATGTAAGACACTGGGTTCTGGGCTATAAGGCTTCTTCTCTTCAGGCCAAACTATATCTCTCCAGCCCCTCTCTCTGAACTTGGTAAGATACAATCTTGTCCAATTTAATCTTCTGACCTTATATTGGGTCATAGTGTTTTAGAACAACCCCATCATAAATGCATAATGTAGTTTTCTTCCGTATTGCATTGCATGACAAGCAACAAATAGCAAATAAACAATATAAGCACAAACTGCCTTTCCACAAAAGCATTCAATTCAGGCCATAATCCAGACCAGAGAAACAGACACATTTAATAAAGATGGCTGAAAATCTTTCAGCAGCCATTCACCAAAGCTCCTTCAACCTCTGCCTTTCAGGAACCACTGCTGAACAGTGATGGATGTAACATCTAAATTTCAAAGCTGTTTTCTTTGCATCGGTGTAGACAAAATGTGTTCAATACAGAGAAGCATTTTAGCAAATTAGGAAACCAACAATCAAGCAAACACTAAGGCAGCCATACGTTCATTACCACAGCAACTGCTTATGTTGAACAAGGACACTACAAACTAGGCAGTACTTACCTCCAAGATACAAAACCTGAGTGGCACCCACTCAGAGACTCCTAGTGCCCCATGTCTCTGCTACCTTTGCAATGCCAGACAACACTCAGGCCATAAAGAGCCCAGTAGGCTGCAGCATTTTACTACCGTTTGCCTGCCGTGCGATAAAAGGCTTTTGGAATCTCTCTCCTTTTCTGTTGCAGTTTTTAACTATTAAGAATAAGTGATCATGATGGGGTTGAGTGCAGACTAGTGAGGTTTGTTTTATGGTCACTGTTTTGAACCATGCAAGAACTCTTTAAAACAAAACATAATTCCAGTATGCAAACAAAATGGGCCTGGGGCAAGATGGAGTGATATGAAACCTAATTGCTTCTGTCTGTCTTGAAATCCACATACAACAGCCCCATAGGACCGATTGACTACATATGCACTAAGACGTCCATGGGTAAGATGGAGATACTTACGATAAAGAGCCTGTAGATGCTCTGGACTGTCTTTTACTCTTTAGTGCCCTCAGTTTGTCACCTTGTGTGAGCCCACTGCGTTCCTCCTCCTCCTCATCAAAATACTGAGAAGAAGAAAACATTTTTCTCCATTTATCACTTCATATCCCATACATTTATAAAGTCACAGGAGTACATGGTAGAATAAAGGCAAGTGAAGATATCCATGCAATAAAAGAGAATTAAAGCTAAGCCGTTCCTCTGTTCCAGATTCTTCCAAAGATAGTCCTACTAAAGTCTAACCATTTGTCATCTTCTGAACTCTTCTCACCATTTCTGTTCTCCTTGCTATGTTCTTGTTTTTTCCATTGATGGAGATATCATCCACCCCCGACAGTATTCCTGTGACTGCCATCTTGCTGGAGCCATTTTCCAGCTCGCTTAGCTTCTGCCGGTACAAATCACCCTCTGCCCACAGGCTGGACTGCATACTGTTGAATGATGCCAAAGCAGATAGTACATATTAGCCTTATTCATAACCTATGAAAACAAGAACCTATTTATATTGTTTGAGACCACAACTAAGAAAAGCAGTGCATGAGAGAAACCTGACAGTATTATCATGTCATGGAGGCATGTAGATTTTCCTGACTGAGGACATACCTATATTTTGATAATGCATGTTATCGTGAAGGACACAATCAAGTATCTTTCTTCTCTATATGATCTTTATTAACCAACCAGAGCAGCTTACTCACTCCACAATGAAGTTCTGCTGTGGTCCAATCACCGAACCTGGTCTGCAAATCCTGATCCAGGCAATGGCCTCAGCTGCAGTCAGTCTGAAGTGCTTCATCATGTAGCAGGCTATCAGTGTTCCAGTGCGGCCAAGGCCAGCTGAAACCCAAACATCCATCAGCAATAATTCCTAAATGTTTATTTGCGCAGATCCATAACAGACCTTCCTTGGCTTGTCAAAATAATCTTCTGATTAACATAGTCAGTGATATAATTACATTTTGTTAAGAAAGCCCATATTATCTTTGAAGTTTACCTTTGTTCTACAGGTTTTGTGCTAGTTAACATTAGTTCAAGATATACCGATATGCAGCAGAATGATTCTTCAATGGTTTTTAATTCATTAAAAAACTGATATTTTGCATGATTAAAGGATTAAGATGTGAGCAAAATAAAGCAGGGTGGTTTGATATAAAATGCTTCAATCTAGAGAAACAGAAGTGAAAGTCAGAATTGTTTACAGTGGTGGTGATAGGAACCAACTGTTGATGAGAATACCTCTAAAAGCTACCTCACAGAAATGGTTACAAACACACTGCCTTATGGCTGAGACATTACTTTATGACAAGCTTGTTTTATGACAAGCTTTCGGCCTGAAAAAGATTTTTGAAAATAAATTCACGTCAGAGATGCAGTTGTACATGCAGGCTGTTGTAACACAAAGTAGTACCCAATGAAAACTCTTGATTTCCCACTGGTTTACCATTTTTAACATTACATTTAAAACACAACAGTCAGGTGTAGGTTCACTGGTCAGTCAGGAGAGTAAATAAAATGGCTATATTTGTGTGACATTATGACCCCTGGTTTCTGTCACCACCACTGCAAAGAAAATCTGAATAGGCAAGTTTCTCCACAATGCAATTTCACATCAAACCCCTCTAAATGACATGTTTACATGTGACCTATTCAATTATGCAGAAATTTGTAAAAATCTGTGGAATTCCTCTTTACACTAACAATCATCAAATCAAATGAGCACCTGGCTACAATCAAAAGTTGCACTTACCTTTACAGTGGACAGCTATGGCACCGTCAGAGTTCTCACAGATGTTCATGAACTTGGTGACAATGGCATCGTTAGGCGTGCTCCCATCAACAAAGAACAAGTCATGGTGGTCAAAACCCATATCTGTGAAGCGTTTGGCATCATACATTTTTTTGTTGAGACGTACGACAGTGGTTATGTTGTGCTTCCTGAAGTATGGGAAGTATGCCTCAGGAGCATGGAGTGGGTAACCTGTGGAAGCCATGAAATGGAACTATTAAAATGGGACTATTATGTGAAATGCCAATCATCCATTATGAAACATTTACAAATCTTATCAAATGACTCCAGTAACATTATCATACCATTCTCAATTTTGCTCTTTGGATGCGGACCACTGAAGGCCAAGAATTTCCCTGGAACGATCCAGTTGAAATCGCCATTTTCTGCTCTCTGTGGAACATGTGACATACATTTTGAGGAAACACCAGAGGTTATTTTCACACCTCTTTAGTTTAGGATCAGAGCAGGATATTACAGATCAAACTACCTCATAATGCTCATATTCCTCCACGTCGAAGTCGGAGAAGTTTAGCCAGCCAAACTGCAGAGCCTAAAGGAAAAAGAAATATGGTGTGAGGAGATGCGGCAGGTCATTGTACTGTAATGAGGACACCAAAATGCAAATGCAAATTTAATTAAGAATCCAGGTTACCTTGTGTACAGCACGTAAACAATCAAGAATGTTCAGATTGTACATGCAAGTTCCAAATGACGCATCTCTACAAAGAGAAAGAAAAAGGGGGAACATGAGAATTCGCCATAAATGTCTAGTTGTCAAATTGCATAAATAAAATGCATAAGTTTACCAGAGTATATATATTCATAGTTTCTGTTAGACTACATGAAATGTCAATTACCGGAAGGGAAGATATGTGGTGTTTCTGGACACTAGCAGACTATAAGCTTCCTCAGGTGTTTTCTGGAGATGCATCACCTTTGGGTGGGGAAAAAAAAGAGGAACTTATTCTTGCACCAGCTAAGCAAGTTCTCTTTCTATTTTACATTTCTGAAATTTTTTTTTGCATTCTTGCTTTTTGTCCAACTTAATCTTTTGTCCAACTCCAAGTTAATTCCAATTCTGAGTCCTCTTGGTATTACAAAAGATCTAGGAGATCAAGTACTGCAGTTATTTTCACTCAGGCTGCTGCTGCTGCATGTTTCTGAGCCATCAGCAAACTTGTAAAGTACCTCTGTGTGCTTGGAGGAGATCACTAACCACTGAATTTATTGAGGATGTGTGTTGACACTCAAGTCTGAGGAGTGACCAACACCAGACCCCTGGGAATGCAGCCAAATGATTTATCCTTGCTCCACTGATCTTGGATAGCACAAACCTACTCTGCTACATATGACTGACATTTTAAATAACTTGATACTCACCGCATATGATCCTATTAAATAGGCAGCATTTGCTTGTTTCTTTTTGTCACCACATGTGTAGAACACAATTTTCTTTTTGGCATGTGAAAAAATCTGTTTTTAGGGGAAAAACCAAGAGTCACACACTGATGTATTCACACCAATATCTCATTTTCTTCTACGTGTATCATCTGTTGGGGGGTAGTCAACTGCAGATTTTATTTATGATTGATTTGGCTACTTAGTTACAAAAGCTGAATGGCTTATACAATAAGCCCAAGTGAACATTACATATCTTGTTGGCACAAGGTTATGTAACCCCATACATGATAAATCTCCATTACCTTCAGCTTCTTGGTGAGCTTGCAACAGAAGTGATAAAACATGGCCAGGTTGAGAGGACCAAAGTCTGCATAAAAGCTGTTGATACAGAGATACAGAGAACAACAAGAGAATTAAAAACCTCACAGCTCTTACTGATAAGAGGTGATAACACATATTATAAAAGATGGAAGGGACATGCATGAAACAAGAAGTGGATAAATGAAATTTTATTTTCAGTTAAGATTTTGGCTTTTAACACTAATGAAAATAAGATAATCTCTTTCCTTTACAGCACTGTGCTTTAGCCCCTCCCTAAAGGCCCAAACTCATCTATTTTGGACTCATTTGTTTATTTTTATGTTTTGTAGTTTTAGTAGGTTTTGGAAGTGCACTACAACATAGTTCATGTTATTTATTTTTCAGCTTTTTTCACATTATTTATTTAATTTATTTAATATTTTCATTAAATAAATTAAATATATATTACTTATTTTATTTAGTATTTTTTTATTTTATTTTTCATTTAAATTATTTTTAAAAGTCCAAAGATATCCACTGTTAAAACGTTTTAATGCATTAAACGTTAAATAAATGCATGATGTTTCCAAAGCCAATGAGTAGCCTAATCGTGTTAAACAGTCGTGATCTCTTCACTGACCAACACAGTCGTGATCATGATTTTTGCCATAATCGAGCTGCACTACTGTGCACACAGCTGTACAGCAGCTCTTACTTCTCATAGGAGAGCTCCTCATCTATGCAGAAACAGTGTCTCTCAGGCGAGCTCCTGATCTTCTGTTTGAGGATAGCAAAATAGAGCTGGTCTGGAAAACAAAACACATCGAACAATAACCATTACAGCAAAAAAGCAGCAGGCTGTGTGAAATGGAGCTTACAGTGCGAAACAGCTCAGCCAACCAAACATGCGCTAAAGCGAATCACTCTGTTGGACCGAAAACAGGGAGCAGATTTGAATTCGCGTCCCGGAAGTGGGCGCTCAGCGGAGGCTGGCTTCTTTCATTCGGACAATGAAACGATATTAACTTCACTTAAGAACGACACGTAAACACATTAAACACCCACCTTTGATGAATTCAATGCCGTTAAATGGATGAGTATTTTCTTTAGACATGTTGGCTCTGAAGATTAGTCTATAAACAACTTTTTAAAGATCTTTGCTGGCCCTTTTACTACACCGCACACAAAAACTTTGCTCCACAGACGTTTCACAATGCGGCGCTCCCTGCTGCGGAGTGTAGTGCAGGCTGCTCCTCCAACTCCTCCACCACTGTACGTGTAAAGCGTCTAAACTGTCTTTTAACTAGTACCAAGCGTTTGTGAAAAAAGGTGGAGATGCCTCATATCCTGAATGTAACCCCTCGAGATCTCGGACACGTTACTGCAGTTCGTGTCTAGCTTTAAATGCCCCTCATGTTGACAACGACTCCAAACGGCTGGATTTAAATCTCGCCCTCTGCAAACTGTCCTTTTCTCTCGCGGCGCTCTAACTTTGTACCTTACTGCGCAACTGTAGCTCGTTCGTCGAATACTATTGGTTGCTACGCGCGGCTGACACGTCAATCATTTTAGGCCCCTCCCCCTAGAATTTTAAGTTCGCCAAACGGGGCATACGCGATTCTAATTGGAACGTTGCCCAAGCCGTTGCTAGGAGAGAAGCCTCCACTGGCCAATAGAAGTGCGCTCGACTGAAAGCTTTGATCCTCGATCTAGTCACTGATCGTCCGGCGATTTATATGGAACGATGGAATCGGAGAACAGAGGACGAAGCTGCTGCCGCGGCCTTAACGCCACAATACCGTCCAGACAGTGATGGATACTTTAATTCAAGGGAATTAAATACCGCGTGTGGCCTCGAGAGCCCTTCAAACAACGTGAGGAGCGATTTATTCCCTTTAACGTGAACACATACGGCTCCGCTTTCTCTAATAAACAGCCTTCACAGTTCACATACGGGGTCAGACATGTCACATCAACATAGCGAGGACGCGTGAAGTTTATGTGCATTATAACTCTGTTTGGGTATATTTACTGGTAAATGCGTGTATTGTCATTGTACAACCCGCTAAAACCTTTTCAAATAGTCCACATGTCCTCCTCTTAATTGGCAGGCTTTCGAAGTGTACCTAACAGCAGCCAGGAGTCTCCAATGTGAGTCTGTTTACCTGTTATAGCGATGTAAATGTCAGCCTTCGGCTCCGCCTCTTCTCTCTTTGCAGCGCAGAGCCTTTTTCTCGACTCGGGTCGTCGCTCGCTCTTGCGCTTCATGCTGGGCTTATTTACGCGCTCAGAGCTGGCATTTCGGGCTCGGTTCGGCTGAACTCGCTCGTGCGCCGGTGGGGTCTTTGTGCCGTGCGTCCTGCATGCTCAATTCGCGTGTCGTCCCGAAAGCTAAAGCTACTTGAAGCTGTTTCTATCGAGGCTTTTCTTCCACTGACGTCTGCAGGGCAAGTTTCTGAATCCCCTCGGTATGACGTCAGCTGCGCCATCCACTCAGCCGAGTCCAACTGTGAAGAGGCAGACATGGTGAACTCGAGGGCAAAAGTTCCTTTTAGGCTCATTTCTGGCACCAATGGTTGTGTAGCATGCTAACGCTTAATGAACTGATGAACTGCATGTGTTCTGGCCTCTGAAAGACCCACGTTTAGTACTGGATAAATCATTTACACGACAAGGACACATAATCTTTGTTTAACATACAGCCTATAGACCCCCTGCCCACTTTACTATGTACATATCTACACCTATTGATTATTCTGTCAGGTCCTCTTACCATATAGGTGCATTTTTCTACAATTACAGACTGTAGTCCATCTGTTTCTCTGCATAATTTATGCCACTGCCCTTTTCCCTGTTCATCAGTGGGTAGGACCCCCTCAGGACCACCACTGAGCAGGTATTATTTGGATGGTGGATCATTCTCAGCACTACAGTGACACTTACATGGTACCACATAAAATGGACAGTGAGTGTAGATATACACCAATCAGTCATAACATTAAAACCACCTCGTTTCTACACTCATTGTCTATTATATCAGCTCCACTTACCATATAGGTGATTGTTGTAGTTCTACGATTATAGACTGTAGTCCATTTGTTGGTCTGCATACTTTGTTAGCCCCCTTTCATCCTGTTCTTCAATGGTTAGGACCCCACAGGACCACCACAGAGCAGGTATAATTTGGGTGGTGGATCGTTCTTCTTGCGCTGCATTGCTACTGACGTGGTGGTGTGTTATTGTGTTGGTACGAGTGGATCAGACACAGTTGTTAAACACTGTTCACTCATCAGATACACATCAGATACACCTATCTAGTTGGTCCACCTTGTAGATGTAAAGTCAGAGACAGTAGCTCATCTGTTGCTGCACAGTTTGTGTTGGTTGTCCTCTAGTCTTTCATCTGTGGTCACAGGACCATATTTTTGCATATTTTTGACACCATGTCAGTGTCACTGCAGTGCTGAGAATGATCCACCACCCAAATTATACCTGTTCTATAGTGGTCTTGCGGGGGCCCTGACCATTCAAGAACAGAGTGAAAGGGGGCTAACAAATTATGCAGAACAACAGACGGACTACAGTCTTTAATTGTAGAACTACAAATTGCACCTACATGGTAAGTGGAGCTGATATAAATGGACAATGAGTGTAGAAACAAGGAAGTGGTTTGGCTGATCAATGTAAGGTAGGTGTATGCAATAAAAAGGTCAGTGAATCACATGAGGTCATATTAATAGAGTAATGGTCAAGTTCTTAAATAGCATGCTACTGGAAACTGACTCATATTTCATGAATAATTTATTTTTAAAAAAAGAACATATCATGGTTTACCATATATATTGTCACAACATTATTATTGCAGGACAACATACAATAATAATAATAATAATAATAATAATAATAATAACAGACTACAATGTATTATATAAAAATCTATCTAATAACATGAAAAAACATTTGTCACTGCAGTTGGGAGAAAACTTTATCTCCATTTTTGTCATTTTTTGTTGTTTTGTTTTATATATTATTTTGTAAATAAAATGTACATCAAATTCTCAGTGTTGCTGTCTTCAGTCATTCTATATTTAATATAGAATACACAGTAAAATCAGTAGTGTTACATGAACTAAAATACAGGTAAAGTTGCATTTGCTGAACTGAATTTGATTCAGTTTTAGTCTCTAATAGTGAAATAAAAGCCTGGTGATATTACAGTTTCAGTGGAATAGAGTGCATCAGATTTACTGAATAGCTTAGGCAGTGGATTATGTGATTAAAAACCAAGTAAAGACGCAAATAAACTAACAACAATAATGCTGTTAAGCCTTACAAAGACTGCTCTACAACAAGTGCAATCCTGTTTAACAGCCTGTTTACAAACACAGTTCAGTGCTAAACTAAGAAATGTTTCTTTCTCAGATGTCAATAATCCTGGGGTGCCTATTAAAGTCTATCATCTGCATTCCAGCCAGGTGCAGCAACTGGTTGATGGGCATGTGGTCAAATCGATTCATGTCAAAATGTGCAAAATGAACATCAGAGCCTGCAAAAGGAAAAGGATAGAAGTATTCAGACATTACACACCTAAGGATAAACACAATAGTGATGTCTTCTTAAATGTTACTGTTACCTGGACCAACAATAATTGCCCCTCCTTGCTGAAGAGGGTCTCCTTGGAAATCAAAGGCAGGGCTGGTCATGGCACGCCACATGCTCTTCAAACTGCCCATGAGCATGCTGGATTTGACATGTGGGCTCTTAGAGGCTGAGAACACAAGTTATTCATTACATCAAATCTGAAATATTTAGGTTTAACAACATACTTAAACATGTACTTTATTAATAGAAATGTTTTTCTAATATAATAAAACTAGGAGAGTAAAATGCATCTGAATGTGCATTTCTGAAGGTGCCGTTTCAACTGCATCAGTTTTGGAATGATATCAGTTATAGTTCTATGCAAAAGTTTGGGCACCCCAATCAGCATTTTATTGATATTTTAAGTGAAAATAAGTTCACACATCCTCTACAGAGAACACACCTCTGTACATTTTAATGCACAGTTACTGGTCATTTGCAGAATTTCACATATTGCAAAAGATAAAAAAATAAAATGTGGCCTGTGCAAAAGTTACAGCACAATTATTTATGTTTTTATTTTTCTTATAAAGTAAACTCAGCTAATAAATATAAATTGTGCACTAAACTTTGCAGAAAATGGCATGTTTGGCAAGTGTGTTCTCTGTGGAGGTTGTGTGAACTTATTTTTACACAGAAAATTGACAAAACATGGAATTTGACCAGGGGGTGTTCAGACTTTTGCACATGACTGTATAATTGATCACAACAATATTCAATAAAGAATGCACTCATTTCTAGCCAAAATAAAATAAAAAAATTCTAGGGCTAGTTAGAACCCTGCCCCATCAAAAACAAACAAACAAACAAACAAATAAATAAAAACTCTAAGGGTCAGATTCTCAGACAGGGATTAAATTTTTAATTTAGTCCTGGACTACATAGTTCATTTCAACTGAATCCCTTGGTGTGTTGTTTTTATTATCTATATTCTACTACAGTGCAAACAGTTCATCCATTCACACTGGTGTATTAAGTTTAAAAAGTAATTCTGAAATGTAGCAAAACAACTCACTCCTAGCAAAAACTGATTTGAGATGAATTGCACTGTTTTGAGGTCAAAGATTCAAAACTCAAAGTTATACCACAAAATTAGAAGTGATCTTTACTTATATGGACATAAAGTCTGTTGTGTCTCTTGCGTAGAATTTTTCATTTTAAACTAAATCTTACATTTAGGATAATTTCAGTCAATGACAATAAAATGTCAGCCCACTGGCAGGTGTTTACCTGTTTCCGTGAATTCTTCTCCTTTTCTCATCCCAAGTTTCTTAAAAATGTGTCTTGTGTGATCAACATATATTTCATGCTGATAGCCTGTCAGTGAGCAAAATGCCTACAAGACAGGAAACACATATTGGAATGTGAACATTACAACAGCCTCATACATGATACTATACAGCTTTAAGTCTGAAATGTACAGTTGTACTGTGTTACTCACCTCTATATGAGAAAACGATGACTGTCCAATGACAACCAGTCTGACGTCAGCATCCTACATTAGTAAAAAAGACAAATCCCTTCCAAGCAGGCCTTTTAAGACTTCAGCAGCAAAATAGTCTGTAAATTTACATCACTCACTATTATTGATGTATTTGCACTCACCATTAATGCTTCCTGTGGGATCTTGCTCAGGTCTTCAACATATTCTTTACATGCGTAGCACAAGAAATTCTGTCAATAACAGACAGTTAGCTGAACATTACCTTATATAAGTAAAAAAGTACAACTGAATTTGGATGCAGTGATATTATTAAGTGGGTTGGGGAGAAAGTAGTCTTATTTTCTCTCTTACATGCTAACACAAATTTATATTTCTAATGCTGTAAGGTAATCCCACGTCTGTATTGCTGCTAAATGATAACCTTAATCACAGGAAACAAAAGGAAACAAAACAGTCTGTTTCCCATTCTTTTTTTTGTAAAATGCATTTTCCTTATGGACATCAAATAAATGTCCCCAGAACTTCAAAACACTTACGTTTATCATCCAGAAGAGTAGAGATGGCACATCAAAACCTTGAATTTCAGCTAATATTGATCTGATAAATACTGATATTTTCTTTAAAAACTACTAAGCCTTAAAGGGTCCATATCATGGAAAGCTGACTTTTCCTCACTTTATTTAAATAAGAGTTTCCACATATATACAAACAGCCCATTTCAAATTCAATGTTTCTGTGATGTCAAGAAACCAACACATTTATGTACATGTGCCTATTCAGCCTACTGCGGTTTAGCCCCCATTCATGCTTAGGTTATAATGAGTTTCAGCCTGGACTGTTTTTTTTGAATGAGGCACAAAACAGGGCAGCCAAACAGAACACAGCTTATGCACGTTAGTCAGTCTTAAAGGTACAGTATCAAATAAAACAGACTTCAATTCTAAGGGATAAACAGAGGTTGGAAATATTTTTGGTGCATAATCCCACAGAAAAACATGGACCTGGGGGTGGGGTGATACCATACAAAATAAATCTGGAACATGGTTTGTTAAAAAGAGCTATTTTAATTGAAGCACTTCATTAAAGATGAGCATCTCAAGGTAAGCTATCCTACCCTAACTACTCACTCTACTATCCCACAGGAAGCAATACACATATAACAACATTACATCACATAGTGTGAGAATCCTGTTTCAGGATAGATTGTTACAGGATTAGATCAAATCCATTACTTTTATTATTACGCTATCTGATCCAGAATTTTCTGCTAATATTGCCCGACAACCAGTATCAATGGAAGCCCGTTTCCACCACTAGAGAATAATTTGCCATTTAGTAAGTCAATAATGAGAAAGTTTTCCATAGGTGTGACTTAGTATATCATAATTATGACTTGCTATCTCAAAGACATAGCATCTCATAATTATGACATAGGATCTCATAATTATGACTTGCTATCTCATAATAGTGAGATTCTATCTCATAAATATGAATTAGTATCTCACAATAATGAGAACGTTTCTCATATTTATCTCATAATAAGTACATACTAGGTCATAATGAGAACGTTCTTATAATTGTGAGAAAGTAAGTCATAATTATGAGATACTGAGTTATAAGATACTATTTACAAGTTATTTATAAATTACTGGATACTAAGATAATAAAACTTTGCTTAATATGACTTACTAAATAGCTATGTATTTTTCCAGTGGCAGAAGCGGCCTTGCATAAGCATCAGACCGGTACCATCGCTATTGGTCCCTACAGCTGTAAGTGCACCGCCACACGTGCAGACAGAAAGTTACAGGAGCTTTTCTGTCTCCGAACTGAAGCTTCATACGGTCTCACTTTCGCAGCTTTACAACATGTAACTGCTTAGAGTAAACGGAAGAAACGTCCTCTTACCCTTACAAACACAATGATAGCTTTGCTGCATTGGAATAAACTCCTGAAAGTTGTAGAAGCTCCGTGTTGGTCGTATATTAAACACTCCTCGACGTCGCTGAGACAGAGATCAGCTGCTGCTGTTGGGCTGCTTTGCGGTGCGGAGCGGGAGATCTGCTGTGTTATTGGCAAAACGGCAGCCATTGCTCAGTGTGTGAAGTCTTTTTCCAGGGGCTAAAACGCCATCCCCAGGCTATTTTTGGAGTTTTCTTGACGGATGAAGGAATTCTGGACGCCCATCCTTGCTGAGACTCGCACAAGAACAGTGCACTCACTTCTTGAATCTCTAAAAAGTTGTCCTTCTCAGTGCTCGGAGTAATGTGAAATAGTGGAAAAGACGCCGTTATATTCAGCCACTGTAAACACCGTTTCCAAATATTAACATTACCTACAGCAAGCAGGGTAAAATATATTACTTAGTAATAATGCTGTACGTCACAGCTTATTACTAGATGTTGAACAGTTATCAGGTTTCTTACTGTTACATGCGTCTCCCATATTACAAACACTCTACAAACAGAATTATATCAGTTTTACTGGCCAATACGACAACAGTGTGACACGTTGAACCGCCAATGACAACAAGCGAGAGGAGGTTTGATTCAGTTTCCCGAGCCGACTCTTTTGAATCGAGCGTCCAACTCAACATCATTGATTCACAGGGCGAGTCAGTTCTATTGGAATCTCCATCATATACAATGATATTCAAAGCAATAAAGAAGGTACGGAAGTCCAGAGAGGTGATGAGGTAGTTGTAATTTTTTGGATTGTTATCTTGTGATAACAAGTTAATTATTTTGTTATCTTAAGATAACAAAGTTGTTATCTTAAAATAATGAGTAAGTTATCTTGTTATCTCCAGATAACAAAAGTTGTTATCTTGAGATAAGGAGTTAATTATCTTGTGCTCTCAAGATAACAAAGTTGTTATCTTGAAATAATGAATTAGTTATCTTGTTATCTCAAGATAAAGTTATCTTGAAATGAGTTAATTATCTTGTGATCTCAATTTAACAACAATGTGTTTTCGAATTTAGCAGAAGTGCACAAGCACTTGTTAAAAGGATGTTTTGGCTAAAATGAAAAATTTGACCATTGTTACATCAATAACTTTTGCTAACATGCCTACTCGCATACAACACTGTGTCACAATCTGGGTATTGGGAGTATTAGAAATACACATTCAGAATACAGAAATTAGGTATTTGTGTTCAGTCTTTTGATACATTTTGGAAAGGTAGTATTCAGAATGTAATTACTTTTTACATTTCTAGGAGAATGCATTTAGAATACATATAATAAATAATAAAAAAAGAAACACTGTCAGTTCTTGTTTATTAACTATTTTAAAATCAGCACATTTTAGCAAACATGCTTGTTAAGCAAACTCCAAAGAGAATCTCAATTACCAGCTTCTTTACAAACATTGCAGTTCCTAGTAGACTGATAAATTAAAGTGGTAAGTCAGTTATTTATCTCAGTGTTACTGAGCTCTTTTGAGGGATAATCTTCTCAGTAGTGGACATGTTTGTGAGTGAAATGCCAAGCATGAGCACACAAGTACACGTAAGTGTGAACTTTGGGACAGGGGAGGCATGTACTGTATATATGCCACAGCTGAATATGTTGTTTTAGAAATATCAGGTAAGACTGTTAACATCACAAAAACACTGACAAATTCCTGCCCCACAAACACAATGTTTATGTACTTCAGAAAGAAAAACAAACAAATTGCAAGTGTGAATTGTGCTGTGTCTAAATACTTAAACTTCCCTCCTTATCTGTGTTGATCTCGTCTGATCTGGTAGCCATGTGGATCCGTCCTGGTCAGCTCTAAATATACCCCCCCCCCACCCCCCCCAGGGCTATTCCGGGTGTTTTTCAGTGGTCTTTGTTCAATAAAAAAGCATTTACTTGAGCATAAATAATGGCATCCTCTGGTTCTTCTTCACCTGAAATGCCGCTGTATATTTACTGAGGCCGCGGGCTGCAGATAAGAATGTCGAGAAAAGATGATAGGAAATGAGGCTTCACTCAACTACTCGACTTTTCGGACGCAGGCTTTGAGACAGGCCAGAAAGCAGTGCTCGATTCAGTTGGACTTGTGAATCGGTTCGGCCGACTTGTTGAAAAGAGCCGGTTCAAAAAACGATTCGTTCACGATTCATTCATGTAAACTACAGGGGGAGGGACTTCCTTTGTAGTGCCGATTCCCGGATGTGTTTTCAAACTGCAAAGAGACTGAAGTAGCCAAGTTGTCATAGCGTTCAGGCTCGTTTACGGTACCGACACGGCGCTCTGCCTTTCAGCGTTCGTCTCCTTCTGTCCGGATCATGAGAGCGCGGGACAGAGGCGGGCCACGCCGCGCGGACTGCTGGTGAGGAGAGCCCGCTCGCTCCCACTGCTTCTCTGCTCTGCTCTGCTCTGCTGGAGTCGATGTTCGTTAGCAGACTTAGCTCACCCGCTATCATAGCAACAGCCGAGCTCTTCATGAATGTTACCCTGCGTTAGCTAGCACAACAACATGGAGCTGAGTTGTAAAACACGCAGAGACACACAGACCTGTTGATAAACAATGGGCTAGCTTAAAAGAGCCCCCCGTGTTCTAGCTAGCTGTCCTGCGTTACCCCGGTCTCGTGTTGAATTTTGAGAAATCTGCAATCTTTTGACTTTGGGCTCAGCCTCATTTAACTCTGTTACAGTGAAAATTCAACAGTGACAGCGAACCAAACTTGAATTTAACGTTATTTCACAAAGCAGGCTTTCTCAGTTAGCCACATAACTTTAAGCCAAAGTGAAGTGAAGAGTCTTCACTTTGGGCTGAAGGTAGAAATCCAGCTGTGTGGTCGGATTGTCTGCAGCAGACAGGTGTAGAGTTACTTGTTAATCTCAAAGCAGAGATCTTGGAACCTTATGGCTCGAAATATCACACGTTCCTGTACAAGCACATCACTTTCCAAATTCAAATGAAGCTTCACAAACAATGTGAAGTCAGTTCAGCCATAACATCACTCTTTGGTGAAAACTACTGTAATTTAGTTGTCAGTGTTTATTATTGTTGTGGTTGTGTTGGTTTGCTTTCTTATGTGAGTCGAATGACAGCGTAACTAGTTGTTATTTAGCTATTAATGTAGTTCAACACTGCAATTTTTTGTTATCAAGACACAGAGAATGGAGTGGTTCTGAAAGGCATTGATTAGGTTCATATGATGCCAGCGCACCCCCATGCACATTCATCAGTAATGGCTTTTGCCAGTTATGTATCTGACAGTCAAGAATTGCCTGTTTGGATGAAAGAGAGGACTTACATTCATTCAGGACTTGATGTTATTGCTAGAATTCAATGGTTAGGTTTAATAAAAGGTGTGTTTTCCTTTGGTAAAATATATCCAAATTCTACAATTGCCAGCTATCAGATTACCTCATTACATCAGTTGTGTCTGCTAAGGCAGTATCTATGTCTTTTGCACGTATTGTTTTAATGCAGTTGCTGGCGGTCTTTAAAAACGCTAAGAATTAGAGATGGCATATTGGAAAATGCTGGATTACATATTGGAGGGAAAAGAAGTGAATCTTAAGTAAAGTGTTTCAATAAAATGTGTAGTTTTAAGGCTTAGTAGTTTTTAAAGAAAAAAAAAATCTGATTGGTTGATACTGAGGGTTTCATTATCAGTATTGCTATTGGAAAAGATGTGATGATATCATGCCGTCTCTACTAAGAATGTTTGTGCCATTGTTTTAACCTCTGTTTTGTTACTCATTCTGTTTGCCAGAGTCAACGTGAGTCATCTATATGGGCCATCTTCTCTCGAAAAATGGCTACTGCCTGAAGAAGAGAACGCGGAAGTTGCGCAAGAAGAAGAAGAGGAGGAATTGCTTCCTTCAGGGCCCCTGCATGCTCTGCTTCATCGTCCGCAGCACCAGTGAGAGCCTTGAGGACGAGTGCCCCTGTGAGAGTGGTGGTGGTGCGGTGTCTGCTGCCTCCAAGTTCGCCGAACGCTACGCGTCGCTAAGCTCGCCTGAGGACTGCGCCAGATTCCTCCTGTCGCCCGGGGTGTTGGGCGTTGGCTGGGAGGGCCAGGGCCGGAGGAGTCTGCTGTCCACTGTGCCGGCCAGGCTGATCGGGGCCCCGGCGCTGTTCCACTGCTCTGCCGACTACTCAGAGATGGTGTGCAAGCGCAAGTGTGGTGAGCCGCGCCGGTGCACGGCTCCCTGCAAGCAGCCGCGTTGCGCCTTTCATGAGGCTGGGGAGGAAGGGGAGGAGGAGAGGCACACCTCTCCCACGGCCGGCCAGCGTCTCCTGCCCCAGCTATGCCCCCTGCCGTCCTCTTCCTCCGCCTCGTCCTCAGAGGAGGAGAGCTCAGGTGTGGGCCTACAGGCAACAGACTCGATTGATAGTCCCAGCAGTAGCGCTGCCACTCCAGAAAGCTCTTCCTTCTCTTGCCCGCTCTCTAACAGTGACGGTTCCGAGGAGGGAAAGAACACAGAGATTACAGACACATCCCGCATCAACCACCTGCCCTCCTCCATACTGCTCAAGGTTTGTGCACTCATTTATATGGGGTGGGCACAAATTTCACAATACAAAATCTATTGTGCTTTCTGCACTGGAGTTCAATAACGTTTTAAAAGATGAATAAAAAGTAATGTTGTCTTTTCTTATGACAACTTGTCAAAAGAAGGCGTGTTTAACACAGGCAATTTTTTTAGAATGTATATAAGTGTAAAATGTGAATGATATTGATTGCAGCTCAGGGAGAAATCATTTCCTTGCTTTATGGTTGTTTCTTGTAGGAATATCATTGCATCTTTTTTAACAGAGCTGTGGAAAGCATACAAGTTTGACTGGTAACAGTTTGTCTGTTACCAGTTTTTTATAGCATAAACTATTAAGCGTCTAACTATTCGATTCACATATTGTCTGGCAACCCTTATATAAAGCAATATTAATACGCATGTTCTAACACCCTTAGTGGCAACACAGCAAAAAAAACTCACCTGGCCACTATATTAGGAACATCATTCTAATACTGTGAAGCATACTGTGTTTATGCTGTCCCTACCATTAGATAATTACATGACTATGCACGTGTACAGGTGTTCCTAATAAAGTGACAGTAACATAAACTCATGATACATCTTGAATGTATCCAATTCAGGACCACTAATGAAGGTGTCTGATATGAAATGTCATATTTAGGGAAAAACTAATTCAGAGCAGACCCTAAATGACATTGTGATCGTGTAGTTGTCTGGTTGTAGACTCCATTAAGTATTTTAGGTTGTGGTTCAATCATTTGCAGAGAATGTTACTGGATAAATTGTATGACTCATAGTTGTTAGGATCAATGTCTAAGAGTAGAGCCAATTGCTAAAAGTAACACTAAACAGTCTTAAAAAGTTTCTAGGCCTTTGGGCTTGTGGTGCTGCAGGATTCAACATGTCTGTGACAGTTCAATGGTAGAGCAGTTCCTCTGAAAACTGGAGCTTTCACATTTACTTTGGCTCAGGTGACATGGCTTGTTTACTTTTTATATTGGTTGTATAAAGATAATATAATATTCATGCTCTATTTACACCAGAGTGAATCTAACAATTTGTCTTTTGAATGTGTTGAACTGTAAATGATCAACTGTTACTGTATTTAAACCAAGCTTGTCTTTAGATGACACATTTAAAAGACTGATCTTTTTTTTTGTTCTAGATTTTTTCGCATTTGTCAGTGAAAGAGCGTTGTCTTAGTGCTTCTCTGGTCTGCAAGTACTGGCGGGACCTCTGCTTAGACTTCCAGTTCTGGAAACAAATCGATCTCAGTGGCCTCCAACAGGTTAGTGCTTCACTTGTGTGCACTTGTATATTGTTATTGTTGTGATGATAAGAGAAGTTAATAGAGCAAGATTTTTTCAGCTAATTTTGACAGTAAAATAATAGCAAAATTAACATTAATTTATTCCTCATTAATGTATTTACTAAAATGTGTACTTTATTTTTTTTCAGTTCTTTATGAAATAACTGTGTATAAATGTGTATTATTCTGTTTATAATTAATGTTCTCTATGTCTCCTAAAAGAGTTCTGTTTCCCTTTAGTTACTTGACCCTCTCTTCATCCTACAGGTGAAAGATGACCTCCTAGTGAAGATAGCAACTCGGAGACAGAATGTAACAGAGATCAACATCTCCGACTGCCGGAACGTTCAGGACCATGGCGTGTGTACTCTGGCCTCTCACTGTCCAGGCCTGGTCAAATACACAGCATACCGCTGTAAGCAGCTCAGTGACCTCTCCCTCTGCACTGTAGCCTCCCACTGTCCGCTGCTGCAGAAAGTTCATGTGGGCAACCAGGACAAACTGACCGACAATGCACTGAAACAGGTCTGTACAACGGCCTAATCTTTGTTCCTCCCTTCAAGTTGTGAAGTGACTGGATTCTGGTTTGCTTTGGGAAATGTTTGGGTGCTTTTGATGAAAAGAGATCCAAGGAAAACTCTTTAATAACAGCTGTGTTCCTGAATGTTTGTTGCACATTGGAGTTTTGTGTTTTTAAGTGGAACTCCTGGTTAACTTCATGGACTAAAAAATCAAAAATTTCAGATATTGCAACAGAAAATCTACATTCCACATGTAAGATAGTAGCCTAGCCAGGGGTCCTTAACTTCTAACTTCAGGCCCACCTATTTATCAGTAGAAAGCATGAAGGCCCACAAAAGGAAAAAAAATTGCAAATAAAAAATATTTTATTTCCGAATTGCAGACAGAAAAAACAAATTAAAGATTAGATTGTACATTACTGGTCAACCACAGAAACTAAAATTTCATTTTAAAATGTGAAGATTAAAAAAGTAAGTTTTTCTTTTTATCTTCAGCTTTCTTTTGTTGCCCAGTGTCCAGGAGGCCAAGGCCAAGAGTAGATTATATTTTTCACAATATAATGAAAGTAAAAAAGTAGATGAAATGGTTAGGTGCGCTGTTGGTGCAGGTCTTATGTTTGAAAACATTTTGTATTTCTCTCTTATTATTAAATCAGTTATTTTTTCAGTGATTTTTATTTTTATTTATTTTTTTTTTATCACAAAGTGCCATCACCGGCCCTCTAAGGACCACTGGCTCCCCTGCAGTATAGGTCCGAGGGCCAAAAGAGAGTGCTTTGCACTGTGGTCCATGGCCAAGTGGTTGAGAAACCTAGGCTGCAATACAAGCAGATAGTCTTCCTTAATGGTTAAATTGTTAAGCACTGAACAATAGGCAGTTGGTGCTAGGCTTCATGTTCTGTTTCTGAGATGAAAATACTGGCCCATGTTTTGACATGGCCCTCTCTTCATCCACAGCATTCATTGGGATTGGTAGGGAGCGCCATGCGAGTTTAGCAAGACATGGGAGCCTCGATTCAAATGACTTCCAAAAACAACACTGGCAGTGTTTGCTTGCTGTGAGATATATTTGTAGATTTGGCTTTCCAACCAACAGTTTTTGACAAATCCAGGGGTGGCAGTGCGGAATGAATCCGAAAGTCCACTGTCAAAATAGGAACTTGGCAGGATCAAAAATGTACACTACATTTGCCTGTTGGTTGGTCCAGTAAAACCTATTTTGCACACTGTTCTCATTTGACTTCTCAGAATAGCAGCAATACTGCTGCTATTCTAATACTTCTGAATAATGCAAGAAAACAAGTGGTGATCTCTGGTATTTAACTCTGCTCAGCCCAGTTAAGGCACAACCCACTCGAAGGGTCCACATCCCATATGGAATTTTTCACTTTTGTGAAATCTTTGAAAAGATTCTGATGTAATGTGAAAAGCATGTTAAAATGTAAAAATGTGCAAAAACAGCCCATTTTGAATTTGCTGTTTATGTGAGGTCAGAAAAACTGTAACATTTACATATCCGTCTATTCAGCCTGCACCAGTTTAGCCCTGATGATTCACCCTGAAGTTATAAAGAGTGTTTCAGTCCAGACTGCTTTTTGAATGAGTACAATACAGGGCAGCCAGTGAAATTATTATTTACGTATATCAGTCTTAAAGGCACACTAACAAGAACAGCCTGTTTAATTCTAAGGGATAAAGAGAAGTATTGTTGTGTGACTGTTTATGACTGTTTATGGTACATAAACGCACACAAATGCCAGAAGAGGACCTCGGTGGGAAAATAAGATATTAGAAGAATAAAGGATGTGGACCCCTTAAATTTTAAATGCATTTTATGTCAAATTGTCTATTATACAGGAATAGACTAATATTGCCGTCAAAGACATGATTTTCATGGTTGCGAAAATACATAAAATATTGCAATTTCTAAATCCGTTTTGGTGTTTGGTTTATAAGTAGGCTACTACTTATGAGTAGTAACCTACTTATAAACCAAACACCAAAACGTAAATGATTATAAATGATTATATGTAAATGATTGTAAATGATTATATATGACGTAAATGATTATATTCCAAAATACATAAAATATTGACATAAAATAATAAGAATATGCTATTTATCATTTATAATCATTTAAGCATTTAATAGTTTATCAGTGTTTCCAAAATACATAAAATATTGCAATTTCTAAATCCGTTTTGGTGTTTGGTTTATAAGTAGGTTACTACTTATGAGTAATAACCTACTTATAAACCAAACACCAAAACGGATTTAGAAATTGCAATATTTTATGTCGTCTGAAATATGTCATCAAATTTTGGTTTGAAATATCGTTGAAATCTAAATGTGTCTGACATTGATATTTTTATCTGTCTGATGATGATATTACCATCATTATCTTATTTTATACTATGTAATATTGATGTTGTGCATCCCTAATTCACAGCTAAGGAAAATTCTGCTCCTGTTTTCAGATTAAATTCCTTTTAAGACCAATAATGTCTTTTCCAAACCTCTGAAAACATAGCAATTATAGTCTGTAACATTGTATTTCTTTTTTAGGTGCTCAGGGTTTTATTTATTTTCAGTGCCAGTCACTGGAAATTATTGGCCATTGTTTTGCTTGACCAATAATTGAGTTTAGCCTTTGTGTTTATAATAGAGGCACAAGATTGGAATTGTTACTCACTTTTAACACATGATCAGTGTTTTTTTATTTTTGCTGATTTGTCTTAGGATTTAATGACCAATAATGTGAGCCAGCCAAGTACACTTGTTCTGCATTGGAATGCTGTGTGGTCTCTAAAGATGCGCTGGTGATGATTTATTTGGCCAGTTTTTATCTGAAGCTCACACTTTGTGGGGTAAACAAACATATCAAATGCACTAAAACATTTCCGATGCTTTTTATTAACTAAACTTTCAATATAAACAACATTATTGCTATGTTATTTTTCAGTTTTAAATCGTTGCCTGTTTAAATGACATTAATCAAATGAAGTGCTACATCTCTGTACAATACATGCATAATTATGCCATGACATTTTGATCTAGATGTAGTGTGTGCAGTGTTCAAATACAGCCCAAGTGCGCTTACATGACTCATCACTTATGCCATAAACTTGCAACACATCTGCCTAAAAATAATAATCTTAAAAAAGCGAGCAAAAAAAGAGAGCAGAAATCTGCATGTTCTGATCATTGCCAGTTCTCATTGTGCCTCTGTAGTGGTGCACGTACTAGGCCTACCCACTAGTGTTGCACTAATGCTCTATCACACTTAAATGGAGCCTCGGTATCAACAATAGAGAATACCGATACCGTGAAACAATGTCTGATGCGCACCGACACTACTGAGTAGGGCTTGCATGCGTGTCAGTAGATGGAACTTAACTGAAGCGAGCAGCATATCGGTGGTGTGGGATTATTTCATGCTTTGGATGAGCAGTAGTAAATGCTTACTATACTGTAGCCTCAGTACTTTCAGGGTCGGCACGACCAGCAAGGACTTTAATAAATCAAATTTAATAAAGCATTTAAAGATAAACCATGCCAAACAGCACAGTGACCTTTTGCAGCTCTGAAAGCATTTCCAAGCAGTAAAGGCTATTCATTCAAGCTCAGTATCTTTACTTGTGACACTGAAAGAAAAAAAAAACATGGGGGGGAAAAAAAAAGAGTAGATAGATAAAATTTACATGGGGTCCTGGTGCAATTTCCTTTTTTCACAGGTGCAACTCTGATTTTATTTCTGTCTGGATAAGCCATGTTGGTGTTTTTCTCCTTCCTCCCCTGAGAAAATAACAGGCCGAATTCCCTACTGTTTTTCCCTAAACTCAGCAGTCTTCAGATAAATCTAGATCTCTGATTTTTGGTGGATTTTCCAGGGTTGTATCGTGTTGGAAAAAACATTTTTGACCGCATATCCATATGAAACATTTTCTAATCATGAATGAAATCATGGCTGATTAGAGGGGCGATATAATGGAAGCTACATGTATAAATCACTGTACAGTCGCATATACACTATATGGCCAAAAGTATGTGGACAACTTACCATTACACGTAAATGACCTTCTTGAGCATTCTATTCCTATTCCATAACCCTGGGCATTGATATGGAGTTGGCCCACTCTTTGGAGCTATAACAGCCTCTATTCCTCCGAAAAGGCTGATCATCCCAATGGTTCAGTGGGGTTGAGGTCAGGGTACAGGCCACTGGAGTTCCTCCACACCAAACTTGTCAAAGTTGGAAGCATGTAGTTGTTTAAAATGTTTTTGTTTACTGTAGCATTAATGTAATCCTTCACTGGACCTAAGGTGCAGACCTTGAAAAACAGCCCTAGTCCATTATCCCTCCTCCACCAAACTTTACTGATGGCACTTGGCATTCCAGTAGGTGGAGTTCTCCTGGCATCCGCCAAACCCAGATTCATTTGTCAGACGTCTATATACTGAAGCGTGATTCATCACTCCAGTGCATTTCCACTGCTCCAGAATCTGGTGGCAGTGTGCTTTACGCCCCTTGGTATTGCACATAGTGATCTTAGGCTTCTGTGCAGCTACTGGGACATGGAAACCCATTTCACAAAGCTCCTGATGCACAGTTCTTGTGCTGATGTTGTTTCCAGAGACCATTTGGAACTCTGTAGTGAGTGATGCAGCAGAGGACAGGTGAGTTTTATGCGCCACATCCTTCAGCACTTGGTCAGCTCAGTGTAAGCTGTTTCAAGTCTGAGCTGTTGTTGCTCCTCCATTTCACAATAATAGGACTTACAGTTGACTGGAGCAGATCTAGCAGGGAAGAAATTTCACAAACTGACTTGTGACAAAGGTGACATTCTATGACTGTGCCATGTTTAAAGTCACTGAGCTCTTCAGTATAACCAATTCTAATACTAGTGTTTGTCTATGGAGATTGCGTGGCTATGTGCTGGAGTTTATATACCTGTTAGTGACAGGTGTGGCTGAAACACCAGAACTCCATAATAAGAAGGACCACATACTTTTGGCCATATAGTGTAACTACATAACATCATCAAAACATTATTTTATATGCACAATATCGTATTGATCATATTAACCATGTCCCCCTATAAATTAATTCAATCCAAAAAAGGCTGAAGTGTGCGCCTTTTTCATAAACAATCTGATTGTCTCCTGGTACACCCCTAAGACGTCAATTTGTTTCCTTCCTCTGTCTCTGTAGCTGGGTGAACACTGTCCAGAGTTGAAAGACGTCCACTTTGGCCAGTGCTATAACGTCAGTGACGAGGGCCTGATAGCGCTGGCGAAGGGCTGCCCCAAACTGCAGAGAATCTACATGCAAGAGAACAAACTGGTAGGTGCCCTCTGTCTCCTACAGGCCTTTGCATGTGGGCATAGATCTTTTAAAAATTGCTTTCCTTGTTCATGTGCCTCATAGCAGCTTCCACTCTCTTGGCACTTATGTATTGGTGCGTCTGTTTCAAATGGAAAAGTGATTCTTGTATGAAAAGCCAGGCTCAGTGGCGTGAGACTATACGTGGTAGGTAAGGCATGGTTGGAGGGAACTCATAGAGGAGTTCATGGCTGAAAGACGAAACCTCTGTAACTAAATGAAACATGGGGTGCAGATTAACACTGTTGGGGCCTCTGGGGTTGTACCCGCTTTATGCCAGCGATAAACCACCCCCTCGCGCTCCGGTGCTGCTCGTCCTCCCAGGACAAAACAAAAGCAGATGTCCTGGTAATAGCTTTCTGATCTCTGTCTTTCTTTCTTGCTCTCTTCTTCTCTCATCCCATTTCCTTTTCAGTATCTCTCCCTAATATCTGTCTTACTGTACCCCTTTGCTTTTGAAGTTTGCTCCCTACCCCACCCCTCCAAACCTACCACAGCCTACTGTGGGCGCTTCTCTTGGGGAACATGTGGACCTTGTTTTGAAACTTTTGTTTTTTGGGTGGACAATGTTAGAGGAATTTACTGAATTATTAAAAAGAGCTCTGAGCAAGGGAATAAAAAGGGGGTCCTGTAGTGCATCTCTTTTCTGTGGTGTTTTTTTTTGTCCTGTGGTCAAATAAGATGTTTCAGATGCCATTTGTTATTGAGATCTGTGGTCTGTGAATAATGATTTGCACTCACACCAAAAATAGCTCCAATGCAGACGTGTCCAGAGGGAGTCAATGCCACCAATTAGTTAGGGTTGTCAAAAGTTCCTAATTACATTCAGCTTCTTCTTGTAAATACCCCTCCTGAGATGCTGGGCCTCCGTCAGCCCCTTTGTGTGGCCACTGGGGGGCAGTGGTGCTCCTTTTATAAACCGTGTTCATTGTAATGTACTGTTGGTCCATAACAAATCCTTTGAGATTCTGTTTATTAAATATGGATAAAATCACAGCTTACACTGCAGGAAGCAGGAGACTTAGCTGTGCTTAACACCTCGTATTTATTCTCAGATCAAAAACGTGTCGTTTCCCCCTCCCTTCTTTGTTTCAGCGTGATGCGTAGCCCTCGTGTTTTGTTTAGCCCACTTAAGCCTGTTAGCAATAACTTGCAACATTAAAAACAAATCCATCACAATAAAGGAGGGCTTTTAGCACCCTTTAGATCAGGTTGCTCACTCGTCATTTCCAGCCGTCCAGATGTGCGATTTTGGCAAGAAGGCCATGCCGGCCTCTCCTTCTCATTATGCTGTTGAGGAGCTTGAGCTGTGTTTCAGAGGAAATGTTATGTCTAGCTGCTCTGTTCTTCCTAAGAGCTTGTCATTAAGGTCTCTTTCTCTATGTCTAGAAGTGAATTCTAATGCAGTGCTGTTGTCGCGTCTTATCACTTTTTTTCTGAGCTTTGATTTCAAGACAGTTGGGCATTGATTCCAGACAATAATTAAGCTCCACTTATCTTCAAAGCTGAAAGTTTTCATTGAGCTGACGGTGAGACAAGAGCATCTCGAGTTTTGCTTGCAAGTTGGAACAGAATAGTTAGGGCTGGACAATATGTTGTCTATATTACCATACTGTGATACTGCTTTTTAGGTTTAGCTGTATGTTTAGCTGTATGTTTGTTCCACGTGAGACAGTAGTGTGTCTGTTGCCAAGCAGTTCGTTTCTGGCTTTTTAATTTTATGTTGTGCACTTTACTTGCTGTATCCATTGCTTTACAGTTAACTGCATTTATTAATACTGTGTGTAACTATATGGCATGTTTTGGGTGCTTCATATTGTTTTAAAAGAGCAGTTTGAAATTGATAAAATTTAAATCAGTTTCATTTCTGGATATGTGCTTTCTCTCTGGTTGACATTTGCTACTGAGTAAGTTCCCTTTAGTGCAATTTTAAAAGATGAAAATGGAACAAAACATGGATGGGATCAAATCAAAGCAAGCCAGTACTCTCATTAACTCTATAAATTTCATACATTTCTGATTAGGGCTGAATGATTAATTGTATATCATACTGAATCATATTGAAATTGCTATTTGAAAAGAGCTGCAATTTTAATTTTTATTATAGCCTGTATTATTAACAACATTGTCTTTAATTTTGAGTGGGGAAATTTAATTCTAATGACACAGAGCTCATGAACTGCCTGTAGATGAGTGACCAATCAGAAGCAACCAAACTTACAACTGTAACTCACTAGCAGTCTTGAGCCAGAAAAAAGGGGATATTCTGGTCGTCTTGGCCAAAATAGCAGGCAGGGACCCCATTTATTGAAAATAACTGCAATTTACATCACAGTTGCAATTTTGGTCAGATATTTTTGATATTTTAGATATTGAGATATTATCCCCAAATGGTTCAGCCCTATATCTGGTACTGTGATGTATTTGGAATCAATCATGATGTTGAGTTTTCCAAATATTGCCCAGCCCTAATAAGAGGCACAATTTAACTTACTATCTACTTCAGTTTTCCAGCAGTATCTGTCAAGAACAATACGCCTCCCTGAAGCAATGATTACAAATGCAGTTCTGTAGTTTACAGTAAACGTGTATTGTATTTCAATATCAAAATTGGTTCTTACTTAAAATGCAAATTGCCTGGCTGACCTCATTTCCACATTGATTTAAGTCGTTTAATTTCCATCCAGTTTCGCCGCTTGGAGGGCCCTGTCATTAAGATGTTGATTGGTGTGATGGTTTTGGTTGCTTGACTGCTACTCCACCATCCTTCGCAGGAAGTTATGGTGATAATTGAGGTATAATAGCGTCAGAAGCATTCGCCCTGTTGCCGGGATACAACAGTGGACATTGACTTTGTTTTCTGTTGGCATATTTTTCTGGTTTGAAAACAAGCTACCTTTTTTTGGCTCCACATATTTCTCAGCTGCATGTGAAAGGACCAAAAGGACCATCATCCTCTCTATCCTCTTTATCTCTGAGGTCATACTGCCTGAAACTGTAGTCTCTTTCTCTCTCTCTCTCTCTCTCTCTCTCTCTCTCTGTCTCTCTCTCTCTCTCTCTCAGTAGCGAGGCACCGTCAGGTCTGCCCCTGACATCTGAATCTCTCTATCGTGACGGCCCCGAATGTTTTCGGTGACAGATCGCACAATTGCGCAACTCCTTTTCAATGAAGGCCCCTGGCCTCTATCCTCCTCCCCCTTGGCCCTGCTAATGGAGTAAAGTGATCCTGTCTCTGTCTCTTACAATCAATGATGAATGGGGATGATCCGTAGATGGGTCTGCTCTTCCTTCCTCCCTCCCCGATCTGCCTTTCTGCTCCTCTGTGCTCCACCTCACACAGATAATTGAATAATTAAAAAGCTGGAACTTGTTTCTGTGCGGTCTGCGTGTTACCGCTTTCCTCCACTTGGTCTGCCAGGAGGATTTTTTTTTAATCAATATGATCTGGAAGCGTTCAAAAGCCCCAACAAAAGTTATAGGCCTCTAAAGAGTACCTTTGGACTTTTGAGACTACATTTATTTGAGCACTGTTCTAAGGAAATGCATTATTTCATGCTGATAAATTGTTATGCAATGCATGGGTTTTTATACAAAACACGTTTATATTAAGGGCTGACCGATATGATTTTTTTTTCCGGGCTACTACCAGTACTGATTATTAGTAAGCAGGGACCGATAACTGATATTTGGGGCCGATATTCATTTACCATAAATTTGTTGCTTGTAGTGTGAAAATTTACAAAAAATGCAACTCTTTTAGTGCAACTTACATTATATGAAGATTAGAAAATTATAAAAAGTATAGTGCTTTGAGCTTTAGACAGTATAGGCTGCACAAATAGCAACTTTAAGCATTTTAAAGCAATCTTTAAACAGAAAAAAAGTCATGTAACTAGATCTCAATGATGTCTAATAGTCAATTACATTTGTAAGAAAAATGGAACTTAAAAACGGGGGCCCAAAAACTTTAAATTCAAATATTTATACAAATATATTGGCACAATTTTTATATAAAACAGATATATGGTGTGACTCACTGACTGTTGAAAGGACATCAGGGTTGAAGCTTGCCTTGTTAGATTATGGGTGCAAGCGAGAAAGAGTAGGTAAAGGCTAAAAACTGTAAATAGCCTACACTAACCAGTCTATAAATACATAACCCCAGTAAAAATATTACAGTAAGCATCTGAACAATCATGCAGTAGAAATTCTCTCTCACACAAAACAAATGTGATGTTTCAGACATCACATTTGGACAAGTCACGTTTGTTTGGCTGGAGTGAAATTATATAATTGAGTGCATTATTCTTTACCTCCCGCTATGGAAGTGAAGGCAGGGACTGTTTATTACTGTGCCTCTTACAAACACTGAAAATTGGATTTGCTTGGTACGGGGCGGGACATACAGACAGACCGAAGAGCTGTGTTTTTTTGATCATGGTTGCATCAGACATGCGCATACAAAACAAAAAGTGATTTTATCTGCGAGGAAGCAAGTTAAAGTGCCGGTTCTGATAATTGGAAAAATGTTGAATATCGGCTCTGATTATCGGTTGGGCTGATAATCGGTCTACCCCTATTTTATGTAAGGTTTATAAAAATACAGTTTACAGTTTTAATTAAGAAGTAAATATATAATGTAATATAAAACTTAAAGATAAACATACCATTGAATTTGAATAATTCTGATATTCTTGTTTTATTACCATCTTTTTAAATAAAATAAATAGTCTACTGCTGCGGTCTCTCTGCACAACACAGTGGGAATGCATGTTTACATGGTTATAATCTGAACAGGATACAGCCATAGGGTAAAAAATTGTAAATTTGATTTGATATGGTGCAGTGGTGTCTCGATATGCTAAATTTTTTTTTCAATACTGCAGAAAAAAAGAGTGAATAAAAATGTGCCTTATATTAATGTGTTGATATTTCCATTATTAGTTTTTTAGTATATTTAT